CTCTCAGATGTTCTAATGGGACGACTGCGCCACATCTTCATACGGAATGATGAGATAAGGTATTACTAGTGCTACTATTACTAGCGATGTTGAGCAACAATGTGAACGTATGAACAGTCCGAAATCATCCGACTCTTCGGACGTAACCCATGGATAGTAATGATATTGAATACGATTTACTTGAATGACTCAGGAAATTCCAGTATAATTTTACTTTGCGGACATCGACATTGCGCTCCAATGATTGTTTTAATATTGCCCAATTCCATCCAAGTTTTAACTGAGTCAATCGACTCTTATTTCAAACTTTTTAGAATAAGAGCATTTCTTGTAGTTTCACGAATATCACTCGAATACTTGTACAAGTGAGTCATTTTTGTACAGCTACGCGCTTTTTCATCCTCTAAAGTAACTAGGATCTGCTGGGCATTTAGACTACAGTCGTGAGCGAAAAAATCCTGCAAAGTCTTTATGTGTTACAAACTGGGGAAATTTCGGTGACGGTGAGTACCTACTGTGGCGATGCCCATGAAAATGCGGATCAATTTCATCAGAAACTGCTACCTATTCCAGACTGGTTGAATGTCCATGTATACCTAAATAATAGCAATATTTTGGGCAAGGAGAACGTTGTCTTAATAGATGGTGCAAAGATGAAATATAAAATATAGGCATCATAGTTGATCAGTTAGTGCTTACAACGTGCATACTCAGAATCGTTTGATGGCCAACGGGACCTGCACATACAATTTAAAGCTTAACCTACTTGCATAGTAAACAGTCTTTTTCCGAAGGAACGTTCACCCCATTAATAATCATACTTGTTTCAAAAGAGAACGGCTTCTTGCAGCAGATTCTAAAAGATTTACGTGAATATTAGTGTATGGCAATGTACCACTTCAGAGGCCACATGACAGAGGAAGAATTGTTGTTATGCCAGTTTTTGTAAAATGCTGAATGGTGAAAGTGAGCGTAATGTGTTTACCTTGCGAACTTTTTTGCTTTAGGGCTGAAGAAACAGTTATGCACCAGTTTTCGTAGGATTTTTTCAGGTCTTATGGCGTTGAACATATCAAAACCACAGCATCTTTAAAGTGAAAGAAAAGCAAGCAAAAGGGGAATCGGCACCGGCCTGCTACCACAATTTCACTGGCCACTCGAATTTCGACACGTATATTTTACATTTTCGATCCGAAATGGGCAAATTGATATTTTGCTAAAATAAAGGATTCCTGCCGAGCCTTTGCAAAAGTGAATGGTATTTTGTGGATCGGTTTGACTTGTAACAGCCCCAAAGTGTTCTACTGAATCAGATGGTAGGCGTTAAGTTGGACTTCAGTTCGCTATTGCTCCACGAGAGAGTTCTTTGCCCTGTCATAAAAATTGTTACAAATAATTTATTGAGTCCTTATTAATAGTTGAGGAATAAGTTGCGTTTGCTGCCGATTAATTTTACCTGAAAAGCTGCCAGCCATTTTTCATGCAGATTTATTTTATTTATTTTTATTCATTTACTTTGCCGATTAAACATTCCAGCCTTTTGTTAAGAATTATTTATTGCAGGGGGATAATCTCATCTCACCTTCTTGACTCAGAGTCTTGGCGCCACAGAAGAGTTCACAAGAGGACTTGGAAAGGAAATTATTGGCAGTCCCAGAACAATGAGGGTAGCCAAATTCTTTGCAAAGTTGAGTCTGTGCATCGTAGTACCACCGGGAAGTTGTCTGCCCCACATCTTCACATCCCATGCCATCAGGGAGCAGACGTGGCAACTCACATACCTCCTGAGCATCTAATAACGACAAATGCATAATCCTCTACAGGTTATAAAAGCCCTACCTTTCGCAGAAAAGTTTGCTTATTTTCATATAACCATGCAAAGAGAATAGCAGAAAACTGAAAATAACTTCATACCTCTATATTCTTCTTAGTTGTTATCATTCTATATACAAATGTACTTAGCAATTACTCATATTCAGTGATTTTAAAGCGATTTTTGTATTAGCTTATGATTTTATCATTATCGCAAAAATCTTGGGAAAAAGTATTATTTAGGATGTTGGAGGCGAGGAATAGTAACCACGGTGACTCAACAACCAAATTTCATTTGGCAGTTAAAAATGTGGTAGTTGTTTTGCAACCATAACTTACGAAAGTTTCTTTCAGAACTCTCAAAATGTCAAACTGGGATCTTCTGGCTCATGCTTTCTAAAGCATTTCGTTTTTAAAATTTATAAAGCTGTAGGTGGTGAAACTAATCCAGATGACTCGTAGAAGTTTTGCGAATGCAAGTTTGTCTACCGACAATGCCGTTTATAATGTCATAACCAGAACTGGCACCAAGATAAATAGAAATCCGAAGACTTTTTGGACACTCATAAGTGCACGTTTCGCACCAAATCATAACTTTCGCCCAATCATCTCAAAGTTTAACCGTAGTTTTTATTAGTAAACTGCTGTGTAAAAGTTACCTTAAAACATTGCTAAACGTCGAATAACAGAATAGTAGAACTTGACAAATCCTCAGTGTTTTGCGTTTTTTGGATAAACTCTAAAAGTTTTCAGGTAGATCCGTACCTTACTATCACTACGATGCATTTCATTAAAAAATCATTATGAAATTTTTAGTGTCATCTTAGGGGAGGAAAGATCATTCCATTTTCCTGCTTCAATAACTGAAGACCTTGCACATCTATTATAGATTATACATTCTATTAGGCATAATGTACCATAGGCGTCGAAATAACTGCAGAAAGTACATTAATCTCTGTAAAACCTTTCTGATACTTTGTCACGAAGCCTACTTTGTCGAATAGTAGTGAGAGCCTCCGGGGTCATGCAGGTGTCATTGCATTCCTCGATAGAGGCGAATTGATTATCACTTCCACCACAGCCGAGGTAAACGAACCACGAGCAACGTTCGAGGGCCTTATCGAAGTATGCCTTCTGGATGGTTGTAGAGGAACCGGAGCGATTGCCGCTGTAGGCGCACTGCGCATAGCCCGCCTTCGGAGGAGCCAGACATCGTCTCAGTGCTAGGAGCATTTACAAAAAAAGGTTTCGTGCAGTTACATTATCTTTTCCTTCCTAGCTTCACCTTACTATGTACTGGTTTTCAAACTTCCTTACTCGATCATTTTGCGCATTTCTAATCATCACGAAGCATATATGCGCAATACACTTTTCAAACTCTGTTGCTACCTTAAGAACTTCGCTTTTTGCACTAAACATAAACTTTGGTTTCAGAAAATCACCTCCTCCTAAAGTGCGGAGACTCACGTGATTTCGGGAGGCAGACTGATTTACAGTCGGCCTCGCTTTCAAAGCGGTTACTGTTTAGAATGCAGTCGGAAGTAGAAAAGCATCGTTTCTCGATTTGGTCATAATACCAAAGGAATTCTTCTGCGTCTCTCATCTCTGAGCAAGTTGTCATTTGTGGCATAACTTGACACCTCTCTAAAACATAGGAGAAAACATAATACATTCGAAGTAACCCTAAAGGATAGCAAAAGCGCAAGGTCTGTACTCGTAGGTGGTAAAATATGGTTTGCGCCAAAACTTTGGATCCATTTTGTAGCAAGGGTAGTGTGAAAGCCCAGATATTTCGGATACAAGGCTTTAAGGTGAGATAGTAAATGTTTTCTGGACTCTGAATTCCTATTAAGTTTTTAGCTGATTTGTGTAATGACCAATAGCCAAAAAATTACCTTCCTCTAATCTTTTACCTGGTACAAATTTAGTACAAATTACGCAACTTCATACGCACCTCAACGTAGTGTAAGTTCCTCCAAAACGCAGCTTGTAAGCGTGTGTCACTTTTTCTTCCGAAATTTGAAATGCCATTAGAGTCTTCTGCATATTGCCAATGTATTGCCTAGGCTTATAAGTATCTTTGTAAAGATAGCTACGAAATTACTCACAAACGCAAAGTCATAGCTTCAGCTAAGCTTTACTTATCAAAGCCCAAAGTATTGTTGGGAAGAGCCTCATGCGAAATCAGGGCTTTAAAATGACAAGCTTACCCCTTGACCTCTGTTATGGCCTCCTTTGTGCATTTGCAATATCATAAATAAAGTAGCAGTGTCCACACTCATCAACGCCTATTTAGCCAAATAAACATGAGCTCCTTCTTTATTTGCACAAAAATGAAATATAAAGAAATGTTGAGGTTTTTTGTTGATGTCGCTAAGGACTTAAGCAACTCATTCAGTCATTTTATGTTACAGGGTATACTTGTGATATGTTTAACTTCTTGTAGCTCTAAAGTGCTTAAAATGTCTCAACAAGTCATTTAACTTTGTATTATTGGGTTTTGGCCTTCGAAGAGTTATGAAAACCTGACGTCCACTGACCTTTGCAATTACCCACTGAATCGCAGGCGGCAAAAGGTCACCGGTTGATAGTCTCTAACCCATAACCACCTGGTGGTTGATTCACGAGCTCTGCCCACATCTGGCAACCGAACATCTGTTGATGGAATGTCTAGATTAAAGACTGCAGCAAAACATTAGCCTGTTTAATTCCTTCTGACTAAGTGCAAATCACCATAAGGGGAATGGCTGGCCACAATCAAGCTTGTTTGACAGGAAATTATTGTTTTCCAAATGGGGAAATATAGCAAGGTGGAATACAAAATGCCTTTAAGGTATATTAATGGTAACCTCGATTATGAATCCCTGTGCCGCCAAAAATTGTCAAAAAATCATTCAAAAATGACCAAACCGATTTAGGATATTCCAAATTCCATGTAAGGATCCCATTGTCTGCACTAAGGTTTACGTGTTCCCAATGACTCGGCGCCCAGATAGATTTTTACGTTGCAGAATCCTCTCTGGACGGCTCAGGAAGTCCGCGGGTGAGATTTTATAGTTGTAAGTCACCTATGGCTTGCGCATTTGAACACGGTATGATTCTGCCCACAAATAGGGTTGCGCGTAAGCAGGAACAAAATATAAGTAACTTTATTTATCACATTAGTAAAAGTCCTCTTAAAAAGTGCCACAATACTTAAATCTTCAGAATTTGATCACATTGCTGTGGATTTGATTTCCGCATTCCACTTCAAAACAAGTTTAGCCGAAGGCTGCTTATTTAGGTTTATCCACTTTCACAATGTGATGACACTATTTACAGTTAGACTACGCTTTTGCTACAACCAACGAAGTAAGCTTTTGTGTCGCGAATAAGTCGGTAATGTGAATCATTGACCACGGAGATATTCAGCGCCAAACCTATTTCCGAGATACATGTATCAACTACCGATTAACGTACCTCTACCATATCCTGGATCCAGAAGGTCATCTTTTGATCTTAATGCAGCTGCCTTGGCGCTCACTTGAGGTGGATACTTGATATCGGACGATTCTTTTACGTCATATTCATCTTCCTCTGATGGTGTGTTCATTTCATCCATCCCCGGTGTAATCAACATTGCTGATGTTTCAAATCCCGTAGTCTCTTCTCTGTCCTCCTTATTCATGGTGGTGGGTGGATCTGTTAGAGGGTGGTTCAGTTGACCTCTCCACATCTCTTTCTCTTGTTCCCGAACCATTTCCCAAAGGGTAGATTCATCAATTGCATCTGTGTGCGACGGCTCCGAAGAGTATGTCAACTCTCCAGCTGGTGGTGATTGTGTTGGGGAGTCATAGAAAGTGATATTGCTGGTCTCCTGGCAAAGATGCAACTATAACGAAGTTAAAAGTTGGTTCAAAGTGAATCACCGCTTTTTATTTTGAAAGACAACTCTTAAAAATCCCATAATCTTTTGTGTCAAGACGACCTAGCCATTATGAGCAGTTACCAATTTCAGATTGTTGAGAATAATTATGACAGCTACTACCTGAAGAGTGATGCCATTGATTTAGATAATGAATAAATTGTAGCACCTTCTGGTTGCACTCATTCATAAATTTGGAATTACTTATTTAAAGCTTAGGCGATTTTTGGTCAGGGATATCAGCATAAAATTTAGTTACTTAACATGCGCCTATTTAACTCTTATTTCCACTTGTCTCATAAAACGGTAGGACTTGACTTCTGTCAGCCAAATATATCTAAAATTTGTCAACAAAAATTGAAGAATCCCATACTTGATTGCTAAACCCTTGGTGAAATTTTCCTAATCGCATTTTTGAACCGATTACAGCCAATATGCAAAAGCCCACCGTGGTGAGGATGAGAAAAGTGTGCGGTTGCGGCAAGCAAGACGTGCCGGATAAGTAGCGATAGATGGCGATGAACTTATGCCGAATGCCTTTCAGCATTGGAATTGCATACTAAAAGTACGCACTGCAGGAATACAACCTCCTTACTATCTATTAGAGGCGGTTTTACTACTTTGTAATGATATCCGGGTTAAAGCACTGTAGGTGGCGGCGAGGAGCTAAACGCATTTGATGTGCGCAGGTGATTCACAAAGAAGCGTGATTGCAAGACCGACTTTATGAAAGCGCATTAGCTAAAAATGCGACATGGTCTGGATAGTTACGTATCTATTTATCGTCATTAAGCAACCTAAGAGAAACTTTGCGAATGTTACCGTTTCGATCTCGGTTTGTTTGGATTTTGTAACTCATTCAAATTCTGGTAGAATTAAGTGATCAGAAAACCTAAGAAAAGAACAACTCGACGACACCTTGGCTTTTGTAGATCCGGAGTACTAATAAACTTCATAATTCACTATTAGTCATTTGTTGAGGAAGCCAGTGATGTATGCACAGTCGAAATCCCAATTGGTTGCAAAAAGTGTGGAATTTAGCTTTATGTGGGATTACCTCTTCTCCACTAGTAAAAGGAGTGTTTGACATTTTCTTACATGTCAGCTGTCAGTCATCATAGCAGCCGACATGTGACCTTTAAGACGTGGCGAATCGTCCAAAAACAAACGAAGTACTGCATGAAGCTTGATGAGATATCATGTTACAAGAAGCATAGCTATGTGGGCATCTACTATTGCTCTCTGTGTGCCAGAGAAAAATATCTACCATCTCTTGGCCGTTCCATGCACTGGAAAACCACACCGTACCTTTTATTGTAAATACCAAAGTGAATGAATTGAGGAACCGCTTAGATCGGATTTTGTGTAAGGGAAGCATGAACTTCTAACTTCCGTAGTTTGGTGGGGATTCCCACTAGAGTTATTCGCACGATACTGATTTTATAACATTTGATAACGATTTCATGCTTATTAATAAGTCGGGAAAATCACTCAAACACGAAAAAGGGTTGGAGTACATCCGTTCAAAATGGTCCTCATTCACATACATAACATGGAGGCATGAATATGCATTTTACCTCAACCCACATTTCAGTCTCAGTCAGTGGTTACAACAGCAAATCGACAAGCTTGATGTGATTTTGATGTTTATCTGTCAAAATCAAGTGTGACCTCTGGGGACAATTGACTTAAATTAAATTTCACTAAAAGGCAGTTGGTGAGACAGACGACCCAACTAACATGAACTTCAAATGTTTATCTGCTTGAACATTAAGACGGATTTTGCACATGATTGCGATGGCTCAGATCTGTGTTAAAATGCATTATGTTAAATGAAAGGACACTTTAAAAGTTAAGCAGGTCAATCACAGGTGAGGAGTCGCCTTTGCTCCTACTTAAATGTCTATGGAATTTGCACCGCTCAAATAAGGCTCTTGCTTGGTTATTTCGAAGACCACAGCAAATTTTAATGCGATCGAAAGTGTAAATATTAAAATATTTCATAAAACCACATGTGAGTGGAATATTATGCAAAAAATCATCCTAAGACGACGGTAATAATAAACGATATTCTTCTGATATGATATACCTTTTTAACGGTAACGTATGAAGTTTGAGTGAAAACAAGGAGTGATAAGAATTCCAATCCCGGTTTCATGCTACTAATTAGTTTCACTCTGTCGGATATTTATCGAAAACCACTGCTTAAATAAAATTTGCTATGCCAATATGCAGCAATTATTTTAAGGACTTACCGGAATTAGCATCGAACTGATGCCTAAGTTCTTCGCATGCTATTATTTGGGTATTAAAATTTAATTCAGCACGGACGAAACTTCGAAATCAGTGATGCGTTTTATTTTTTGTAGAGTGCTGTGGTTCTTAAATAGATGTATACTTCATTAACAAATGTCAAAATTGAAGATGAGAATCAAAGATTGACACAGAAATAGAGTTCAGTTCATTATGTCCCAAATAAAATAAGCACCTCATTTGGTTCAGTATGCAAGTGAATGCGACCAAAACTCTTAATTTTGCCAAAGGCTCAAAGGTGGTCACCAACTCCATGCTTTTGAGATTTGTTTTCAGTGTACTTTCCAGCTAAATGATTTACAATTGTTGCCTTCCAGAAACAGGCACCAATTACGTATTCATCATCTGATTTTCACTTGCACAAACTCACTTGAGGTGATAGCGCCAACAGTAGAAGTACTATCCAAATAATCCGCAATGATACGCCTGTCCACATGTTATCAGGCCCTCCGCATACACCCGAACGCGGCAATGCTGTCCTTTAAAATGAAGCCTGCGGACACATCACCACAGGCATCGCGTGCGCACCTGATGTCTGCGCGCGCATACGTGCGTATGGTAGTGCTTGCGATCGGGCGGTTGCTAGAAGGGGGCACCGGAGGGGAGCTGCAGAGGCACGGGATCCCGTGCGGTGTGCGCTAATTGGCGAGAGCCAACTTTCGCTGCCGGACCGGCTCTAAATTCCTCGCTGGCCTCCATACCTAAGAAGATTTTCCTGGATCTTCCTAGGTCAAATCGATTGAAAAATGGATATGAGATAATTACACCGCTATGACGCTGCGTGGTTTTATTGGAATAAGGACAACATTATTAAATATGATGAATGATTGAAGTTCTTATTAGAATAAGACAAATCTGTTAATAACACTGAGTCCAACAGTACATAAGAGTTTGAAACGTGAGGAGTCAGTATTTTTAGTGTAATTAATCAATTAATTTGCATTTTTTCTTGATTATCTCCTTGTTGATTAATTATGCGCAAATATAAGTTTGTAATGATTTTTTGCATCTATTTCATGAAACGAAGGCGCATCCCTAACACCTCTTAGCTTCAAATTCAACCTTATTAATAAAATAATGGAAAAGAACCAAAGGAAAACGTGATAATGAATTGAGTGGTGTAGTCTGTAGCTGACCTCTGACTTCAGCTAAACCAGGACGTCACAAGTGCCTCGACTTCACTTGCCCAAGCCGAAGATAAAATTCACGTATAAGTGTGTGGATTTGAGCAAAAAGTCGATGGGAATGATATCACGAGTGGGATATGCAGCCTACGGAGGCAACACTGCTTAGTCTTTAAAAGTGTGCCATATTAAAGCATTTGTTTTCCCTAACCTTGAAAAACAAATTTCCTTTGATAGTTCGTATCATTCACTGTAAAATGTCTTTTTACGTCTTCTTCATGCGTTGAAAACGCAATCCAAGTGCAGGCATTCTCTTCAACATCGATGCGAAAATAATTGACTATTCGAGTGGTCAGTATCAATAAACGATAGAGTTATTTCAATGGTGGTTTGAGGTTTAAAGGCCACTCCTCCCAGGCGTGATTTGAATGGTTTAGCAAGAGAACAATTTTGAATTTATTCATGAAATTGGCCGGCCTTCTTTCAAGGCAACTATTCCTAATCAAAGTCCAAACTGATCCTAATAAGTACTTCCACTTCCACTTTGAAATAAGTCGGAGTAAGCTAAGATTGTTCCGAAAAGCAAACTGATTCCCACATACAAGCCACTCACATCACTATCCAGAAAAGCTAACGGACCCAAACATTGTTAAAAACTGTTTTGTATTGCTAAAACCCCAAATTCTTAGTATTCTACCTGTCAGAAGAAATTCGTAATTACCAACCCGCTATACGTAAAAATGACTGCAACGAATTGTACTTAAGGCTCCACAAACAAAGTCGCTCAAAAATGCCTACAAATTTCCGAATCTGCAAATTTAATTTTTAACTTTTGGCCAACGAATTGACTGTGTCATCTTGGGAGAGTAAAGCGTCTAAATTGCGGTGGATAATTTGCCTCTGAGGTATTTCATTCTGTTTGATAACGATGGCAACCGCGTTGGAGTGGTCAACAGACTTCCCAACTTGGTATTTCGACAAAATATACTAGTGTTCAACTCGAGTACAATGCATTTACTTCTCCACCTCATTTATCCATCTCATTTATTGACCGAAATCTTTTGTATTGGATTCAGCGAAATTCCGTAAATACGATGTCATTGAAATAGAGTCTCGATCACGTCTGCTGACTTGTGCAAACCAAAGCATAAATGCACATATACTTATAAAGCTGCACCATTCACGTTCAGATATGAAGTTTTGTATTTCAACTATGGCGTCGAAGGCTAACCAAGGAGTAGTGATTTGATATCTCGTTTAATTGCATGTTTATCTACACCAATTCTTCATTCTCCATAGGTTGCACTCCCCTTTGGCGGTCTGGCTCTCCAAGCATGCCAATAGCCTCCCAGCCCTTTGCCCACGAATGATAAATCTTCCTTTGTAAAGGCATGGCACACTAAAATTTAGGGAAGGTACGAAGTGCTGCAATGGAGTACGGGACCAAACACTTCCATTGAGAGATAGTATTTCATCTGTTAGATACTTCTTTATATTGATTACTATTTGATACAATACTTTTTTCTTAATTAAATGAATCCATGAGAGAAAAAAGGCTTATTCTAAATAGGAAAAGAGCTTAGCAGATTTACCTTATAGCGTGCAAAGATAACGAAAAGTTCCCAGCTAAACTTGTTATTTATGATAAAAAGTAATTTCCATTGAGTACTAACTAATGCGGAATTAAAAGTCAACGCTTTAGAAACCACATTACATGGCAAACTACGCTAAACACAATTTAAACCAGATGATAACGTAGGGTGCGGTGTTCAAACCTTTCTTTAAAAGCAGGGATCAAAATCTTTAGAATTGCTCAGGTCATTGCTGCAGTGATAATCCAACTTTTGTAAATCAAAATGTAAAACGGTTATTTTGGTAAATAGTACCTCAACAAAGCGTAAACCTATTAAACTTTGGCGATTTGAGACATCATTGCAGTAAAGTGCAATTTTATGCTCTGTCCGTCTTAAAAAATTTGTTGTTTAAAAAATTTTTGAATTTTAGCAGGAATCCTTACAATCTTTCATATCTACAAATGGCTTTGTTTAATTTTACAAGTGTAGAGTTCCGCCTGTTAATCTGGTGTGTCTAGTTGCGTCGTACTTTTTAGATGGAATTACTGGATTTGAATGAGCCGGTTACGTGTGCACGAGTAATGTGGGGAGATTATTGTGACGTATACTTTCAGAAATCCCGTGAGGCATATGTCGCTGAGGGAAAAGCTGGGTTCTCAAATTATGACACACAAATCTCGTATGCACTGGATCTGTTGAAGACTAAGGATGAAAATGCGCTTATGACAGCGGAGTCCCTTCTAAAAAGTAAGTGATTATACAGGATATTGGTACTTTAGGTTGCTTTTCAGTTGCCGACGATGCGAAGAAAAGGGAATGTTTATTTCTGATTGCTTTGGCTAATACAAAGATGGGAGTATGTTCATTTTCTGAGTAATCCACAATTAGCATTACGAAAAGGCAATCGAATGTTGCGATAACCTTCTCGCCGTCAATCCTCAGGACCACCAATCTTCTGACTTGAAAGCAGAAATTAAACGCCGACGCAGGCGTGGCAAGTTCTTTTACTGCTAGTATTCTGAATCTTTAACTACATCTTTATCTGTATTGTGACTTGGTGTGTAGAAGGAATCACTGGCGTTTTCGTGACAGCTACTGGGACTGTTGTGGCTGTTGCTGGTGCTGCCATTACACTAGTTTTGAGGGCTGTGCTTGAATAGCCTTTACGAGATCTGTGCATTTCATGCTCGTTTTCTAGTGAAGAATTAATGATATCTAACAAAGAAGTTGAAATAAATTGCATTCAAGCTTAATCTGTTTACTTGCTTTTGCAGTTGACCTGAACCTTTTACATGCTGTGCAGTTGCACTGATTATGGTCAGTTAAGCTCACTCCAGTATCGTTGATTTTTGTCACAATGCTATTCTAGTGACCACTTATTATCTGAAAGTTACCCTATTTGCCAATATATGCCCTGAAAAAATATCCAAAAGACTATTTGTATTCACAGCTAAGGTAGTATTTATTTTGGCTGTTCTTCATAACTAGCATAAGCGTAGTTTATTAGGTCGCATGCTCAGACTTCTCCTTTTTCTGCATACTTGGCACATGTGTTAGTTCTTGCAAAATGTAGACTCCTCTCTCACAAATAACTTTTATTTTGAGAAAAATTACAGATGGAATCGCACCTTAAGAGGATCAAAAAGTGTGTTCGTTATTACCTGCAAGATAACTAGCTAGGTTTTGAAGAGTACATTTGTAGCGCTCACAGTGCTCCTGAACTCGTGTGAATCGCAAGCAAATATACGCATACAGCTTTTCGCCAAAGATGTACATTGCGATAGTCAAATGAGTCACCTTTACACGTGTACTACTGTTTTGAGTGATTGTTTGGATACAGCTAGTGCAACCCCGTCTTTTTTGCATTTTCAGCCGGCACCTTAGGCTTGGGAGCTGTTGGTTTAGCTGTCGGTGGCGTTGCGCTAGGGTTGATTGGAGCTGCTGCAGCCTACGGCATCCAGAAGGGCAAAGGACAATAAGTGGCCAACTGTGCCAGTTTTTCAACACACCACTTTAAAGACTTGAAACCGTAGGTGTGTATCATCTGTGATTTTCTAACATTCAAATGCTAAAAGTAAAGCATATCCGCTTTCATATCTGGTAAATGAGCTCTATGGTTGTTGATCATGTAAAGCCCTAAGGAGACAGCAGATTTTCCTCATAATCCACCGTTGCGTTTACCCAAATGGTACTTTGAGCTTTGCATCTCAGTGGAAGATCCACCATGGAGCGTGTGGTAGCAACGATGTCAATTGTAGTACAGTTAGTGCTGAAATGTTGATAATCCATTTGGTTATTTTTGAGACAATTGGGATTTTACCTGGCACAAGGCACCGTGAATGAGACGCGTATGCTCTTCCTCGCAGTGGTCTGCTCAGCTTCTTTATTAAAGCCTGGGCAGAAGGGTGTTCACGCTCCCACAACGCGCACAGAAAGAAGTGTGAACGCTAGCTCCAATTTAGCCGATTGGATGTGAAGTAAGTGCGGTAAATCATCATGAATTGTGAATCGAACAGATATATGTTAGGTCTCTTGAGAGTCCAGTGCACCACCAGCGCAAAACCTCAACTATCCTCTAAACTGCAGGGGATGTGGTGGTTGTCGCGATGTCCAATTTGCTTTTGTTTCATCGCATTAGCATCATGGATTACTATTAATGGAGTGCAGATGGACCTTGGTTTCAGTCACACTGTTTTTTCCATCTGCATTCAGGATTTCCAGTTGACAGGCGTCTACTTTTAGGTGAACTTAGCGGTGCCAGTTGTATTACTGTCAGTGCAGAAGTATTGCTCAAGCATGAGGCTGGTTAAATGCAGCACTAACAAGCCTTAGAGTTATCGAAATCTAGGTCGAACTGCATCCGCATTACTGGCAAATCATGATGGTGATACAATAAAATATGGGTAGTGGAGGAAGTCGGACGTCGCGGCCAGCCCCATAAACTACCGCTAGAGTAGGCTGCTTCGCCAGCTAACAGATCTTGCAAAATTTGCGTCTTAAAATATAGGTAGGATCGTTACCTTTACCCGAATCTGCCTGTTTACCCACTTCGCCCTCCTGATGAAAAAGTTTCTGAATACCGACTGCTCGTATAACTGGGTCCTATATCATCTGGATGGTGGGAGCAAGATAGAGATGGAATACTTTTTTGGTCCCACAAGCAACCACAGAATTCGGAATGAAACGCGGGACAAGTACCAACCTACGTGTTCATGGTTTGCTTCGATTGGCTAGCTACTGAATGAAAAGGTGAATCTAGACCGTGAAAAAGGGGAAAGTTTGGTGGGCTTTTCACATTACCGATGCAAGGAGGGGTTAAGAGGTTACTAGTACGGCCCCAGAGTCACGCGACCGAGGGGGAGAATCATAGGCGTAGACTCAAGCGTCTATGTGGTTCGGTTAATCGAAGCATCAAATCGCCATAAGGCATGGGGAAAGGTGCTACAAAGTAACAACAAAATGGCAAGAAAATATGGGGTAATTCAATACATTGGGCATAAACCAAACGAAATATCTATTGAAAAAAACTCTTAATTAAAGAGGAGTCTAAAAGAAAGGGTGGATTACCACCTAATTATAGCGTTCCGGGACTCCCCTGAAGACAAAAGAAGGCATAGTACTCGAGCAGCACATGTACATTCGGCACAGAGAAGGTATTTGGGCTACTGGCATGGCCCGAAGGCCAGCCCACCCGGCGTGATACAAAGGTCAAGTCAAAGGTGTCTCCTCGCCAATACGGAGAGATAAACAACCATCGGAGTACATAATGCTAAAAATTAGGAGCAGACTAGAAGGAAATCAGAAATTCGAGGCAAAACAGCCACGTTGCGTCCATTTTAAAGTCAGATTTCGAACATCAACTCATTGTGCTGTTATGGTGTTTTAAGGTATCTTTGGCCTTAGTGAATATCGTAGTACCGTAAATTCTGGCTTAAAACTCGGATTGATAATAAAAATGTAAAAAATTGATACCTGAGGGAAAAAGTAATAAATATCCAGGCTATTTAATAGGCATGACGCTAATTAACTTGCCAAATTAACTTATGTTTTGACAAGAAAAATTAAAGAAAATAACTTCTGGTTTTATCGAAGTTATTAGTCATGACGTATGCAAAATTACTTTTGCCTTTTTTAAACTGCCGGTTTGACTTAATCAAAAACGATGTACACAAAGGACACTAGCTTTCAAATTTCTCAGGATGCTGCTTTAGTCCCGCATTCCAAATAACTCCTTGGATTACTTCAGCGAAGTCGTGATTTATCTTACTTGATACTGAAAAACAAATAAAAATGGCCGATTTGGAAGCTGTTTTGGCAGACGTGAGTTATTTGATGGCAATGGAAATGAGTAAATCCACACCCGCTGCCCGTGCCAGTAAGAAAATAACCCTTCCCGACCCAAGGTAGGTGTGTTTTCAAATGCTTTATAAGAATAACTTAAAATCAGGTTTTAAAAGTGGGTTAGATAGTTTGATAATTTGCTGCTTTTTGCTGCATACTTTACTACGTTCGACTAAAGTTCTTTATAGTACATTAATTATTGCAGTTAGCATCATATTTTCCCATTATGCTCGAGTGGTGCTCGCTATCCAGCTGTTTTTATTGTGGACTATGAGCAGTGCCAGATAAAAATCACTACATGGTGCTTACTGTGCTTTAATGGGCGAATGAAATTTCCACCACCCTCAGTAAACTTTAGGTTGTTGTTGTGCTCCAATATTACGGTAAGGCTACACTCTCTGCCCGATAATTGCCACCATTTTTGCACCTAGCAATCAGTTTTTGCGTTTCTCATCACCTCTTGCTCCAATTTTTCTGCATTTATTTAGGAGTAAATCCATACCTCTAAATTTTATTTCTGATAACGCTGCGCTGGAGCTGATTTGCGATTTCTTTGTCATTCCACTTGCAACTTATCCGTTTTGACTGCCAAAATCAGATGCAATTAACATGGTGCTACCTCATAATTAATCCCACATTAATTTAAACGTTCACACTTAGGACTTAACTCACCAAGAGCGCTATGGATCATCTGTGTTTCTTCTTATAGTACAAATAAATGGAAGGAAAAAAAACGTTTTTTCGGATGGAATTTAAGGAAATTTTTTGAGGACCATTACTGCTTAAGAATTTTATAATGCGTGATTCTTACTGGAAGAGCAGTTTCAAGGCACGTTAGTTTCTTCCAAGTTTCTCTGATTTAAATGGCTCAAGGAAAGTGCTCATTTCAGACCTCAGATAAATAATAACCTTCAATTTTTTCAGTTTTACAATTTTAGATCTGGGTCTGATTACTGGGTTGAAATTAAACCTTTCTTTTTTCAAAGGAGCCTGAGACGATGATCTTATCAAGTATCCATCTTATAGTTTGCAGCATGTCATATTCCATCAAGTCCAATTAATATCTAGCCAACAAAAGTTTGGTAGTGGTACATTTTTCTTCTAACTTTAGTGTGCAAGCGCTGCATAATATTTCTAATAGGAGCGTTTTTTTATCAATTAGTTTACTGGGAAGTCGTGCAATGCACGTAAATTTTTTCTGTATACTCATCAAACTTAGGGTCTGGCTCAGCACTTTAGGTTTCTCATTTGTGAATGAGCACACAGATGAGAACTTATTCAAGCGTGGGCGTATTCGACAGCTACAATGGTAACGGGATCTACTTGATTGGAGTCTCGGAGGTACATGCCTACTCGCTTTTCTAGTCACGTCGTTTCTGACCAAAGTCGGAACATATTTCTTTCTATTGCCTGAATCAGCATAGATAGCAAAATGTGGCTGGTGGGAAGACAAACTTTATTTTTGGAATTATAATGTTTTAGATCATGAGGACGCTCAATAGTAACAGAAAGTAGTTCGACCCTGATAATTTGACTTGTTTGAATTACCAAAGCTTATGAAAAATTCGTTTATCAACTTGCAAATAAGGCGAAATATTGCAAGTAAGAATATGGACTTTTTCAGCAAATGTTCCACGCCTTCTATTTGCGGCGATAATTGGTTAGAACCTCGTTTGTGCTCTCATGCTTTGTGATTCTAGATGTCAGGAGCTAGCAGACTAGATACAAATTTCTTGCCTAATTTAACGTCAAAAATAAAGTTTCTTTGGTACCTTTTGTACGTCATCACACATAAAACCCTTTTTAACGAAGATGAAATAAAAAGAAATGACTTAAGGGGTTATTTCGCTCCCTTCGTCACACACATAGAATGAAAAGAAATTGTTTAGGCATTCACTTAATAGATTGTTTTTAGGACTTCAATACTTCACTAGTTTTTGTATGACATCATTGTATCTGTTCGTGCTTATAGATACTTCTCACTGATGAGAAAGGGGCCCCTTTTTTTCGGAATTATTGTCTGCGCCTCATTGACTGCATGGCTAACGCACTGCAAAAACATTTCTCTCCTAGTTTTTTTATGAAGTTTGTTTTAAACATCTATATGAATGCGTTAAATCTTCAAGTTTGAGTTCTCATGCGATGACCTTTTTCGTCTACTTTCCTACTTTCTTAGTCATTTGATTCTGTACTGACACATTTGGATTATCTTTAACGGCACCGATAACAAAATCAAAACTCTTGATATGGTCAAAGACCTGTAACAGATCCATATTTTGCTTGCTAGTTCGATATAACAGGCAACTAAAAGTTATTGGCGGCATTATCCCTTGGAATGCAGTAACTGTTTCATTCTTGAGAGGATCGCTTTCAGCATTATGACTTTCTCTTAGTGCCTTTTCTTTGCAAAAAGTGCGACAAGAAACCCTGGTAATATAGTTTAATCTTCGAGTTTATTTATCCTTCCAATCATCGCACATAGGTAATACATAGACTATGTAAGTGCGTGTTTCTGTTGCCGAAAACAGGGGGTTCTTGTTCAACTTCCAAGAAACAGAAATGGCTTTTGTCGATCGATACTAGGGTTTAGCAGGTCACAAAATTTCCTTGCTAATCAAACTTGGTTACGACTTTCTTGCTTCTCAGTTTACTTAGTTTGACGATAGGAAATCGCCCGCAGATGGAAGTTTTGACATTTTAACTTATGCTTGGCCAGATGTTTCCATATTTCCGTGTCACGGCCAAGTGCTTACTGTTTACGTATTTATAGCACGTGATATTTTATCTTTAATATCTTATTTGTTTTTTTGTCCCACAAAATATCTAACCCTATTCTGCATGAAACATAGATTTATCGCATCCAAAGAAAAATCGTAACTTCAAGTTGTCAATTATGAATCCTTATTAGAAATTTGCTACTTCTCCAATATCTGATAAGCTTGACGCCTTAATTCAGAGTTAATTCATATTAACCTGTTTCTAAATGTCGGGGCAATTGATCAGAAAGTTGATGGGACGATGCATTTTCCTAAAATCCAATTTTACTGCCTTTTCAAAAAAGCTGGTTTGGTCAGGCACACCATTGGTACCAAAATAGCGGCAGCGGCGCTTGGATAATGTAGCGGGCGAGTATTTCATTCTGTGAACTGTTAAATGTGAGAGCGCGTGAAAATTACCGTCTGTAAATCCCAAAGGCTGCAACTAGGTGGGAAACCTTACCACATTCACGATGAATGAAGGTACGTCACAGACACGGGAGGCATGGATCTTAAAGTCACGCAATCCTAATCGTGTCCGCGATGCACACTTGGCAATGAAGATGAAATCTTTTAACCATCCCTTTTACATGGATGTCACTAGGGCTAGTCTTTCCAATACTAGCGAATTTATTTGCAAATCTAACTACCCAAGCATAGACATAAAACCTGGAACAAAGGGTGATTTTATTCTGAATGGGACCAGACCTTCAAACATTGCGAAGAGTAATCAATTATTGTCCGCTTTATGTCGAAATTACTTCAGCTACATGTCAAAAGTAACAAAAAGTACACGACGTAAATGACTATTTCTCCAAAGTTTACTTATCCGAAGTCATTTTGAGCTAAACGTATGAATGTATTTCTTTTAGCTCAACAAATCCCATGTTCTTTAAAGTACTGCATAAATTTTTAGTTTACATCGTTGCTAAATGCTATAGAAAGGGTTCAAGTGGTGCGAGATATTTGTTTCTTAATTTCTTCATAGAAAGTGCTTTATCAAAAGTTTGTTAATCTACTCATCCAATCTCCTTCGTTCTATCATGCATGCGCAAAAATGCTGACTTGACTTTACTGGAAGGTAGTTTTAGGATTGGGCTCGACTTTCCAGTGCGTCAGCACAGGGCATAATATCATCGCAAACGCGGTGCTTGTGGTCCGCATTCCACCGCGTTCCGCTTGGATGCATAAACGATGCCTTGATTTTTCAGCGCATCCGGCATATCACTAGTGGCCGCTAAAATTCTTTATTCCGATACCTGCCAAAAGTACAGAAATATGCTCATTTTGCCATGTGGCCAGGTGTTTTAAGCATCAGAGGATAAATCTTCCTGAATACTTGGGTTTATTTGCATTGCCTAAGGTGATTTGGTTGAAACATTGATCATTTGATACCCCAACATAAGAAATCGCCAAAATCCAGATATGCTAAGTAAGAAGGCAAAAATATAAAAGCCCTATCCAGGAGAGCAAGACTTTGGGAAAAACAAATTTATTTAACTTGTTTATCTCTACGTCTATGAATGTGTGAGATTTATGAACAAACTTCCGGATACTTTTTTCTGATTTTTTACATTATGCACTTGTATATCAAAAAATTATCCATTCTGTACTTTACGTCCCCTATAAGATTGAATGACGATAAGTTACCAGCAATTCTTTACCAATTCCAATTCACTCCAAAGCACTTGCTTAAGAGAGTTGAGATGAGCACAACTTTTGTATCTTGCCTGCTTATTTCCATTATTTTTTGGGGCATTTCGCGCGCACATTCTATTCATCAGAGTGCGAGCACACTTCTGAAAGCTTATATTCTGAAAACGTCTTCCTTTTGCCTTAGCGTTTGTATTTTGTAGGTGATTTTTCCATAGAAATCCTACACTACCTAAAAGCCTTGGACGGGTTTTTCTACCACCTTTAAGCAATACGAACAATCACTTTTGTTCTGATGACACAACCATTGGAATGTTAAAGGTCGTTCCTTATGATGGTCGTCTACATTTGGCTATCCTAATCTGATGTAGAAGCTAAGCAGAATTTAAGCTCGCATCATTTTTTAGCATGTTTTTCGATTCCCACCCATCTGTTGACGAGTAAGTATGAAATCGAAAGTACATCTCTCATTATATGGAAATCACTTTTAAAACACATCCTTCCGACATTTTGCTCTACTTTTTGGAAACAAAGATGCGTACCTTGATATATATAAGTTACATTTGAACTTCTAACATACCATTTTTCATAGTGTAACTATGTGCCAACGCTTAGTTTTTAAAAGGATGCACTTCTAAGCACCCAAAGATGGTTTGCGTGCCTAGCTCGATTTGACAATATTTTTTTTTAAAACGTAAACTTTATAAAACCATAAAAACTACATTTTTTAAACAATTTATCTGTTAACTTTCAATAGCTTCTCTCATTCTTTAACTACTCAGTGAATGGGTGAAATACTTTTCCATCCTTTCCTACCTTCAACAACTTTGTGAATTCGAAAAGTCATGTCACATACCGCGTGTCGAACATGTAGGTGGAAGAACAGTGTGTTATTCACAATGCAGAACAGGCATCTTACGATGCCACCAGGAAAAAGCATGGTGGAATAAATGGCGATAGATACTGATACAAGAATTTATGAAGCTGTCGAAAAATCCGCAACGCCATGACAACCACCCTGTTTGGCTGTTACGGTCTGAAGAGGTTACAAAAAAATGAATTATTCTACTGAATATTAATATTACAAGTTGTTATATCAGTCGCAAATTGTTTTTTCCCTTAGTATAAGTTAAAGTCTTCTTTTATCTTTCTTGTTTTGGGTTTTTAAAGCATGGAGCTATTCTAGGGGATTGCCTTTTTGCATATTGAACGACAAAATGGGGAGATAAACTCCATTTTGTCGCGTTTATAAACATACAATCTTACTTCTGCAAACAGATTAGATGTGTTGGCGCATGACAATAATATTCTAGTCGTTTTGCATTGGAGCTGAAATAAAGGCTTAGTACATCGCCCATTAGTCATCACAGGGTTTTTTGCAGTTTTTATTAGTACAAACACTGTAACATCTTGCATTTTACATGTAAAATACCTTTTAATTCTGCTAACGAGAACATGGCTTACTAGTTTTTACTACCTAGCGGATATAATCAAATTCATTAATCGCCCACAGCAAAGCAGGAAGCCTTGGTGTCGAAATTGTTTTAAGAAAAGTTGATATTGTTTTTCCACAGAGTAGTTTAGTGGAGTATTTTGCTTTTATCACAAGAGATTTCAAGCTAGCTTACTACTATTTTTACATGTGAAGTTAATACATGCGCTCCCATACAATGATTGTTTCCAGAAATTGGGATTGTCCGCTGGCCTATTTACTTCCCTATTTCCCACTAACATATTTCTCACTTTGCTACAATTCCATTTGCCCACTCTTCCTGTTGCGTCATATTTGACTGAATATCTTTCATTCTTTTTGTCAATCAGACCTCATGTTAACAAGAGAGACAGGCAATCCCTGGGACTTCCTGGATTAACTATTCATGAAAATCTTGGTTTGAGAAACATTAAATTATGTTTTCCCGCCATTTTTGTCAGTACTTTTAGCCCTAAATGAGGATGAGATCAATTCAAATAATGCAGAGAGATTTAAATAATAGGGAAGATCGAATCAGATGCTCACCTATAAGTGCTTTGGACTCGAAATAGAAATCCATGAAATCGTACTTATCAGTCGGTGTTTCGCACAAGGTAATCTACGAGTTTTGCCTACAAAACTCGAAAACCCTCATAGATTTCAATAAGGAATTATTTGTCTGTGTACCTTGTAAGGCGATTAAAGAGCACAGTACTATTTTTTTTCCTCAAATGCAAGCAATTGTACTAATCAACCGAAGTTCACAATCCAAAATCGGCTTTACCAATTAGTACACCACTTATTCACCCTCTTCCGGTTCAAACCCATAGGCAAAACAAAAAACGTTATCGGGTGATGTATCATTCGATAAATTCCACGTGAACCATGGTACTTGCTTATAAAAGTTCAAAACTACTCTTTCATTCATATTGTATATTTTGGAAAATTTTGCGTGTAAGTTAGGCTAGAATTACTCGTCTATCTATCGAGAAAAAAGGAATTATGCCTTTTTTTACTGAAGAAGCAGCTTGGTAATACCCTACCATTGTCTTTGAACTTAGGTGATTTGAGTGCATATTACATGTGTGCAGTCTGATTTCATAGAATCTACATGGTTGCGTATGAGCATCTCTTTGCTATTTCAAGTAAATAATATCTTTGGCCCTTGCGGCTCACAAACTAGCATTTATGATTGGAGAAACGGTAGCACTTCTGAAATGCATGAAATGTAATATTTCAGGCGCTGACTTTGTAAGAATTAATGGCGAAACAAACTTCTGTTTACTGTGAAAACCGGCCAAATATTAGCAACTTTTTACAGATGTGTATAAGAAAGCGCCGACTTTAATTCTGGTGCACCTCCAAGACTAATGATAGAGTGGTTGACTGTGATCCTTGCCATATTGCCAAACCTTCTGGGGAGGTCTTCATTATTTGCTAAATAGGAGCACAGCATTGTCAAGGGATGTTTACATTGGACTCAAATTTCCTATTTATTGAATTTTTACAAGCCGTTAAATTGTTTTGCTGATACGTTTTCAAGCGCTCTTTTCTTGTTAATAGATTAATTTTACTACCCTGTAGCTAACGTAATCCAACTGTTTGTTTTTGTAAACGAGTGAAATGAAGACACAATTTTTTCTTTGATATTAACAGCATTGCGCTATAGACGACAAGAAATTTGTCGATAACTCTGAATGTAGGTTAATCAGGTTTTTATGTGACGAAGGCTCTATTAAGTGGATGCTTAATGGACCCCCTGTCTCGAGCATGATATAACCAGGCTAATTGCGAATTTCGACGCAACACTTTTTCTAATATGTAATTTAAGGTATTATTTTTTGTTATTATTTGTTAAATGATTGCGCCATCTTTATTTGACTGATAGTTTTTAAAGTCCTCACTTGATAATTCCATTAAAACTCAGAATTTCGGCAGAAGACACGATTTGAGCAACTTCGTGATAAACGTAAATGAATTTAATTCGAAAACCTTTAATCGTTGGCGTTTTACATGCTTTGTCAAAATGTTTTGCTAATAGTTCAAACATCCTGTCTACTCTCGTTTCCTAATTGAAGGCTGCGTTGAAAACAATTTTAGGTTGGTCCAGATGTTGCTGCCCTAACGCGATAGCAATCCGAGTCCTTCGATTAAAGCCCAGATTTGAGTGCGCACCGGATTCTAACATGAATAGGGGACTTGTAGTTACTGCAAACTCCTTACACAGTTGCTCTTAAAATTGCAGAATGTATATGGAAATTGTACACCTCATTCACAAAACTCTAGTCGTACTTAGTTTAGTATGACCAATTGTGTCTGTCTTTAGAAATGAAGAATTACCTTCGCAAATGAGTAAGTGTTTGCGGTAGGCATGGTTCATAAGTATTTGAAATAGATGGGACTAACCATGGAAGAAATGGGCGTGTTTTCGGTCCCGGATAGAATGCTGATGAGTTTGATTCGATGCTATCTAAAAGGTAGCTGTGACGTTGGAAAATCGCCATTTAATTTCATTTAGCACATTAGAGCATTAACAGATATCAAGATAATGAACATAAAAGGAAGATGCAACTCTGATCCTGCATTTTTGGCATCCATGATATAACTACCTAAATTGAAGCTTGCATGCGGCTTTTTCATAAATGCTAAATTGGGATAAGGAATTTCGCTAAAATGGGTTAATAAGACATACTTATGCTGAAAAAGCATGATCCTTTTAGGATAGGCCTGTCTGCAGAATCAGTAAGAACTTCAGCTTTGTAAAATATGGCTGTTTTCCCTGCGCTCAACGCATGAAACATTCAAATCCCTCTTAAAATTTTTTAAATTTTCCTTTTAAAAGTTTGTGTGTTTGTCAAAAGAAGTATGGTCTTCTCTTTTTTTCTACCAAAGAATAAAGAATTTGCCCTTAGTTACTAGTGCTTAAAGTCTAGGTATTTGGCCATCTTTTTGCGCATTTCATTGCAATACTGCTGAACGAGGCGTCTTCTCTCGCTAGCGGCTTGCTTACATCATAAACACTTGGTTGAAAAAGATTAAATCCATCATATACTGGTTGATGCTATTATTTTGCAATAAAGCTGTTTATGCTGAAATTTTTGTGTTAAATGTAAAATATCTTGATCACACCATTACAAAGTTGCGTTTTTTCCCACGCGACGGAATTGTTACAATTGTGTTGGTTGCTGAAGCTTGTGAAAGCTGCAAAAGGTTGTAATTATGACTTTTTAAGTTGATGGTGCATTTCCTTCTTACTACCTATTTTGATTGTTCCATTTGTTTACTGGTCGAGCCTGTCTATCAGAAAAGGAGACTTTGTAAACTGTTGCTGTTTGTTCTCCCATGCATGGCCGCATTTCGTCACGCAGCGTCATACACTTTAATTTAATTTTAATTTTATGATTAGCTATTGAACAGTTCCAAAGCTAGAATGGTATCTTCTTAACAAACAAATTAATAGTAGTCATTACCGAGGGCCAAGATGAAAATGTACTAATTTGCTACCTCTAGAAGCAAAATGTCAATGTTAATCATCTCATCCATTCCATATGACGTATCGAATATTCGTAACAATAAAAACGCCGTTTTATTACTTTTGTTTCCAGCATACGGAGCGTGATGATGAAGTACATGGAAAAAAGAGGTGATTTAACCTTTGACAAGATATTTAACCAACGATTGGGATATTTGATCTTCAAAGACTATTGCCTTAACTATCACGAAGAGCCGGTTCCACAAATCCGCTTCTATGAGGAGATCAAGAAGTTGGAAAGTCTTGAGACTGATGAGGAACGAATTGCACTTGGCAAGGAAATTTACGACCATTTTATCATGAAAGATCTGCTCTCCCAGTCTCACGTAAGTGGTCAGAACGTGTTATCAATAGCGTCTCATCTAGCATCCATATTTTGGAGATGTGGTTTGCTTCAATTTGGCGGCCGAGAATCTTAGATTCAAAAGCATCATTTTGTATTTTCACTAAGAGAGTTCTGCGCTTAGCTCATCAGTATGCAGGATGAAGTTTAAGTAAAAATGACAATTTCAAGGCTTTAAAAGTTTCTTTATTTTTGAAACACTTTATTCATTTGTGTAAGGTCCAAACTCATAACTATTGATGGCCTGGCGTAAGCATTTCAATGAGTCTTTGCGGTTTCCATTAAAGGGAGCCTATTTTTGACTTTGAAATTCCATTGCCAAATTTATTTGCCTGTATTTTGCAGCTCTAGCAGCCGCCATTAGCTACTGCTGTTTTGTCATTCGCATATCCAAGAGTGTGACTGCTTTTTCATGAAACGGAACTATGAAGTTCAAACAATATAGTAATAAAAATGCTCCTACCAACATACTTTGTCTGACGCAAGTAATGTGATGCTGAAGGGCTTTGGAGTGACTCCAAGGGCAGGTATCCTAAAGTTTCTGGAGTATTTACGGAGTGATTTACCGCAAGCGGGAGTCAAAATCGTCATATATTATTGCATGCGGTATTTCTACTGTTGATTTAAGTAGTCAATGTTTTGAGCGACCAAAATTTCTCGAGTTAAGCGTTAACTGAAACCTAGGGTAAAATTTGACAGCTCTGAGTTCTATTTTTGTCAGTCCTCATTAATGCTTTATCATCATAAAGTCTTTCTTTTTAGTCATTTTGATTAAATGTTAAAACAACTTATTAGTATTTTTGTTAACTACGCGGAATTTTTTATAACTCAGCTATTAATATTGAACAAAAAAGCGTTTTTATTATCTAAGTTTTAAGCAGGGACAGTTTATCGTAGATCGTTTAATTAAGAGGATATTCCTTTTTAAAAATGAAAGGGCAATATTCTGAACCCCTTGATTCACTTCAGAGCAATCAACCTAACATTAACATTTCCAGTTAATGAATGTAGAATCGCGACTAAGTTTATTGAAACCGCTACCACCTAGTGCAGTGCTTGTACTTTTATACTGTCCAACGGATCCTTATACTTATCGAATCCACTTGCATACTGACTCTAATGTCACGCTTCTCTCGACCTTGGGCATCAAGATACTTCAAAACATTTCACTATGGTAGGTTTTACGTGGGTCTAACTTTTACTATTGAGCTTTCCAGGAATTCTCCAAAGAAACCGTCGCCCGAGTGTTGGAGCTCCTAACAAGCGCACAGCGAACGCGAATACTTCCTCAGGACACCTTCTCGGTAGGATTTATTGTTTGGATATCCTGTAAATATTTCATTTCTTAATCTTTAGGTTTATATATCATCTTATAAGTGGATGACTTCTTACGTTGTTTTATTATTTTCACCGATTTAAGAATGTCCTTGTGTTAATATTTAGCCCTATCTGCAGGAGATATGCGAATCTATCCGCGGTGACATCTTTGACGCATTTATTCGTTCCCCCAGATTTACCCGTTTTTGCCAGTGGAAAAATCTGGAGCTCAATTTGAACGTATGTCACAGTCTGCTTCTCCAGCAACCTGCTTAGAAGAATCAACTCTAACACTTGATACACTAGCCTTTTAAATTGGTTGTATTTCAACTGAGCATTTTAATTTTCGCAATGCGAATACATCAAGAGAAACCTTTTAATATCCAGTTTTACCGACCTTCTGGAATCATTTTGAGCCTAGATTACGGTAACGATTTTCTAGAACACAAATTTCGCGAAATATTTTTATGATAGAAAAAATAACCAATCATAATTACTTTAAAGTTGTTGAGTTTCTGGCCGGTAGGATACAATGAAACAGAACTGTATTGTTAGACTACTTCACCGATAACTGTTCGGCAGTGTTTGGTGCATATTTTTAGAATACACGGCTTGCATTCAATCAAACCGTTCCTTTTAATTTGTTAAAAGATTTTAAATTGTGATTGGCGTAAGTGTTTTTTTTTGTATTAGCTGGCACTAGATTCATGAAAAGAAATTTTGCCCAGAGGGATAATGATACGAGTGAACTTTGAGAATTGAGACTCGAATTTTAACTTGGTTATGTGGAATGCCAATAGTTATGTGGTTGCGTGTTTAATTGCGTTTGGTAAATTTCACACTTAAATGAATTAGAACTTTTGATTATTTACTGGAAGTCTCGAAGAGCATAAACTTAACGTACGGTAACAATTCCTTCAGCATGACTATTTGCATAGATCAAAAAGTATCAAGCGTATTTGCTTTTGTCTCTTTATTCCCAAAGCTCACAGCGAATGACTTCAGCGTTCACCGAATCATCGGTCGGGGCGGGTTCGGTGAAGTTTATGGCTGCCGCAAGACGGATACTGGAAAAATGTAAGAAACCTTATTTTACCATCTCCTTTTCTTGAGAAAAACCGCTTGACAAAGTGCGGTTTTTTCGAAGTCGCGATTAATGACAAAATCAGCGTGTAGTCAGAAGTCTGAATCTACGCATTTTCCCATTGCATAAGGCACTCCAATTCGTTCCCCTTATTTCATTCGTCGTAGTGACCCCGTGCATTCTTGGAACATGTCCTATTTGTATCGCAAGCAATAACTGCGGTGAAGAGGAAGAACGCTATACCACCATTGTTTGGGCTTTTCATGGGCGTCTACATGGGCGGCGCATTCGTTGGTATACCAATTTCATAAATCGAGATTTTGAAGGTGTTGTGGAAAAGCACAGCCAGTAGAAATTAAAAAAAAGCAGAATTTGATTTAAAATGGAGCGTCGCCTATTAAATTAAATAAGTCGATGAGGCTACCATTTTTAAAAGGGCTTTAATAAAAATAAATAGCAGTTTTATTTGTTAATCAGATTTATTTATGCTAAAATTGATAATTAAACGTAAACTTGGTGAGTATTTTATTCGGCTGTGTCGTAATGGACTTCACTTTGACAATGACGAGCTCTTAGTTTTAATATTAGAGTGAAAGTGCTATTGTAGGGCCATTTACAACTCATTTGGTATTTTCATGAATATCGCTCTGGTCGTTTCGCATGAACGAGCTCGCTTTGCATATTATGACGAAAATGGAGGCGAATACTCAGAACTGACTAGCCAACTTTCATGTTTGTAGAACAGATTTTTATCAGGGAGTTCGTTCAATTGTTTCAATAAAATTCCTTTAATTGAAAAATGTGATGCAGTAGTAATAACATTGGTTGCCTTTCCCTACTTAGAATGCTTTTGTTTGTGAAAAGACCTAGTTTTTAACCCTCATTTATCAGTGCAAAAGCTTGATCTTTGCTATTTTTTATCTTAGTGTTCATTTGATTAGAAAGTGGAGGTCGCTGCGGAGTTAATTGGGCCAATTTCATTTATTGGCATCCATAAAATAGTCAGAAAATCGTATGCAAATGTTTTTCCTGGATGTTTAATATTCATACTAGTAAACTTATTTATAAAGCTGCTTTTTTTGCAATTAAACGCGGTACTTACTCTAGAGCAAATAAAAGTGGGGCTTTCGTTAAGCAAATGGCAATAAAAGCTGTTCAGTCTTATTTAACATATATTTGTGCAGATTTTTTGTCATCGGGTATCCATTTCGCCAATTTATCACTGTGTATGACTCGTGTCATGACAGGTGGGTAAAGCTACGAGGCACCTCCACACGGTTTTGATTGATGACGTTGGGAGAGGGAGGGAATATCACGCCAAAATTTTGCCCGCGATTTCGACTGGGTGCCCAGACTAATTGCTTCACGGATGAATTAAATTCATTACTTTTCAAATTTGGTGCTTGCACACCTTTGGTCTTTTGCGATTAAATACGGGTTGTATTTGGCTATACTCTGTACAAATCGCATGTCCAACTATCGAATGCTTTTCCCTCGTAAGGTGACATTGTGGTTCATTGTCCCATTGAATGTTGCCATTTGCAGTAAGTGTACATAAGTTCTCGTATTGTTGACCTATAAGTTCATTTTGTAGAAGTCTTTCCCGAAGCAAAGCAAACACAGTAGGCACCTTGAAAATGGCTTTTTGATGTATTTCACTCAAAAGACATCGTTATAATCTATTAGATTGAAAAGTTTACAACCTTTGCATCCTTTCAAGCACATCCTTACTCCATCTATTTTGCGTCGCCTGCAAAGTAAGTCCACTCTCAACCAGTTTTCAGCACTAATTTTTATTTTAAATGAAAACAAAATGAATTTTAAAGCAAGTATTCTGGAACGATGCCAAATGTTGTGTTAATAGATCAAGAGTTTGCGTAACCTGACCCCGTGTTAATTTAGCTATAGGGAATAAAATCGGGCTTTGCTGTATCATTAGATTTTAACGATGCATGGCATGACAAATGACAACAGGAAAACATATTTTACGTTCCGATTGGTTCTAGATCAGAGCATACATGCTGCATCTTCATAGGAATAAAAAGTGGCCTTATGGATTACTTCGTGATTCTCATTGTTAAATGTCTATTCGCACACCAAATTTTGTAGATCATTTTTTTTCGTGGCTAGTGGGATTTTATGACTATGAACTGTAAACACTCTGGATTTCTTGTAGAGCTACTGGAACATATTTAGCTCATTCTGATATTAATTAAGGAATGCACTCTGCAGTCATTTATGGGTAACAACAGCAGTTCTTGTTTTTTCCATAACCTTCGGGTTGATTTATGCATTATTTTGATTTTTTATGACACCATGCTTGTCTCACCTTTTATACGTGGAGGTATCTATTGCGGTTGTTTTTTGAGCTGGTTGTCGCCGCAGCTAATCAAGGTGGAATTTTATTTTGCGTTCTAATTATGTTTTTGGAATTAATTTCAGGTATGCTATGAAGTGCTTGGATAAAAAGCGGATCAAAATGAAGGGTGGGGAGTCATTGGCCTTGAACGAAAGAGCTATGCTTTCTCTTGTCAGCACGGGAGTAAGTAAATTTTAATCTAATTCCTTCTATCTTGCCCACCTAGTACGGTTCTGAATCTTTAAAAAAAATGCTAAATGGACCCAATTTTATGCTTAAATTATCAATTTTGTTGCTCAAAGAGTAAGGAAACTGATTTATTTTATGTTATTAACTTTTTTGTGATAAAGTAGAGTGGTGCCATTCATGCAATGTTTATGTCAAAGCTGCAGAATACTTCAATTCCAATGTGTAACATATATTTTACCGGTAAATATGCAAAAGGAGCCATCATATCACATTATTCGGGGGAAGTTAATTGCATTGACAAGCTCTAGATATAATAAAATCCGCCCAATCCAATTTCTCCGGTAAAGCATATGACCGAGATTAAAGTTTAGCACTGACTCAGCGTTTCCTGTACCAAACTCATTAACAATGATTACAATCACAAGATTTATTCTATCCAAAATATTATGCAGTCTAATATCATGGCCATAGACTGATATCATAAACCACATAATTTTATTACTTTAAGCTGGATGTCTCCTTTATTTTTTACTTTTTATTGTACCTCTAATTCTTCGCTGTTATTACGAGGGTCTGTTCTTGCAGCAATTTCTGATAACTTGTCTTCAATCTAATTCTTTTCACTTATCATGAACCTAAGTTATTTGTTACTATCTCGTTTTCTCCTAGACATTTATGCACAAATTAAGTGCTTAGGCGTGCTGACATACTTCACCTTTAGTATTATGACATACGCAAAGAAACCACCAGATCGCAAGTAGGGGCCTGCAGAGTATATCAAACTGGTATAATCCGATTGCTAAAATAAAACTCGCGATGATAGTACTGTGGGTTTGGCTTTTGCCTTGACAACCCTCTGGCTGCTAAATCGTGGCGAAGGTTTTATAGACTAAAGTGTGAAGGGCAGTTTCAGAGCGTAAACTGCACAGCTACGTAGTGTTTATTGTCTCCTGCACAGAACTACTACAGAGAGCATGTATGAGCTTCTGATAACCACGGATCTCTAAATGTCTAACTTGCCACTTCAGCGTATCTCTGAAAGTGCATTCTTACTACCTCTTAGGCACAAAAAGTTGAGTAAAAACGGCCTGTTGCGTCTTTGGCGAATTTCTAATGCTTAAAAAGCACTCTACTAATCCATGTGTCTCAAGAAGAACTTTTGCGGCTCATTATGTTTAGAAATAATAATGACTGCGAATGGAAAAGCCGCGATGGTTAAACCTCGACTCTTAAAGTTCATACATTTGAGAAGACACAACATGTTGGAGCTTGAATTTGTTGACACGATAGCGTTTTTTTGTCAGCGATGGTAAACGACTGTTGCTATTCAGGTGTTGAAATCGCTATAGTTCATCGGTATGATTTTTTGCAAAACTTGCTAACACATGAGATCTTTGACGAATTTCGTCCATGGGTCGAATTTGGTCATCTGAACTATTTTGATAGGCAATCAGCTTGAACTTGCCCTCACATCCTTTTTGTTTATGTGATGTTTAGTTTTTTGTCAGTTTGGTAAACGCATTCATCAAGCAGAGGTTTATTTGCACTTGGCGTATCCAAAAAGGAAATTAACACAATAGGCAAGCGGTTGTTACTGTTTGGTGCCTCGACGAACTTCAGTTTCGTTTATTTCCATGAAATAAACTACGCCTTTTATGAATTCCTAAATGAAATCGTATATACGTTAAAGGCACTCGAAGTGCCATAACAAACCCCATTGGCAAAGAAACTTACCGAACCACTATAGGATACATAATACCCATAGAGTCGTGTAAATTTGGGGGCACTTTCCATAAAGCAATGCCTTGAAAGAAATGGAGAGAATGACTGTGAATTCGTAGACATGAGAAAATTGGACGCTTTTCAGGTACTCTAGCGTTAAGTAGTGGTGAAAAATGCGTAACGATACCTTGCGTAGGCACAAGAAGTCCCATCTTCCATCCGTTTAATGAATCTCTATTTAACAAAAGGGTAACGGCATCTAAGACGCTGGCATTACATTGGTATTAGGGTTCCACGTTAACAAATCCTCATAGTTCTCACACGCGATTGTATATTTAGCAGTATTACTGCTTCTAACCATTAGCATAGGTTACTAGGATTGTTTGCCTGATTTTCTGGGAATAATTTGAGTTAAAATTCTTTTTCAAATGGAGTTTTATGGCCTAGTCGTCATTTAGTAAGATTTAGCTCACGCGTTAGCTCGTTAGTTAGCTAGAGAATGTGAATCTACTGAAGGTAGTAGTTGAAGGACTGTAGACAAGGGTGGTAAATAAAATGTAAAGCGTAGTAAATCTGGATTTTGCAAGCTGGAACTCTTCTATAGGCCAAGTTGAAAGCTTCATAGGGTATGTAATCTATCACAACTACCTAACGTGGCTGTCCATTGAGTAAAATACATAATTTATTGCTGCAACACGACTCATGCCCTTGAAAATCAAGCCAGACGTACGTTACAATAAGCAAGCAGTCTATGAAATACTCAAACTATGCCACACATGTTTGCTTTGGAACGAAAACCTGCAATTAGTTGCTACCATCATTGAGTTGTTCCATATGTCTACTTGTAGAATTCCAGACGTTTTTAAAACGGCAAATTTTATTGCCATGGGCTTAATTAATTTTGTGAAACTGATCTATAAACATGTGTTTCTTGAAGTTGCCACGCAAGACAACTATTTTTCAATGCCTTTGCATGAAGGCTTGCAGTGGTCCTTGTCAAGTCCTGATTTCTGTGGTGCGATCAAGCGGATTAGATGGGGACTGTTTGCACGATCACGCCGTTCGCAAGTAGGTTACGAAATGCTACTGAAAATCTTCGCGGAACTGGACTGGTTTTTTTTGCTATTTATGGACCTTATGCGTATAAATCGGCACCAGCTGTGTGTAAGCTAACCGTTCATTTACCTTAACTTCCATAGAAGTAGTAAAGCATTTGAACAATTGAAATAATTTTTTTAATGATGCATAAATGACGTTTTGTAGGCTAAAAAAACCGACTTTGTGACATTTGAATAAGCTGGATGCGCCAATCCTGATCTGGAAACACAAACATCGCTTTAGGTAATGCCAGTCTCAATTATGGTTTTCCCAGGTAAATCTTCAAATGAACAAAGTCAAGGGTCTCACTTTGTGATATGAACCTATCACCGTTTCACTAGTGATCGGAAACGAAATGGAAGCTAGTTAGAAATAGTCTAAGCAGGTGGAAATGTGGTAAACTTTCAAAGCATTCGTCGCTAGTGTAACCGTTATTTGACGATTCCTTTAGATATTACTAGTTCTCATCTATTACCTCAACTGTCAGTGTTAATCAGAAACCTGGATTAATCTGCTGATGAGGCAAATACGTTATGGTTAAAAGAGTAACTTTAGGGCGCATGCATCAGATTTCCTATTTGGGTCTACGACTTCGGTTATCCTATTGTTAAAAGATGTGTGCCGTCCTGTGATGATACGGTTTTCCCGGCTGATCCGAAATAGTTTTAACATTTAAAAAAAAAACAAATATCCAAACAGGTGACAAATGGCAATTTAGTCATTTGGGTAATTTGCTCCCGCTATTGCTTGAAGGGAGGGACCATTTATAGTTGAAATTATTGCAAAAGTAGGCAACTTAACTGCTCCGTATAATTATGCATGTCCACTTTATTTTTCTTTTTGACTGATTGCTTTTTTGCTCAATTTTGTATATAATCTACATGGATCATCGGCGTGTGAAAAAATATCCTGTTTATCTCCTAAGTAAATGGCCTCCTTGAGGTAGGCTTGTTCAGTTACTCTTCTGCGGCGTAAATGTTTTCGGCACGTAGAATGACGTGTACACAGGCTCGGCTACTTGGGATCTTTTCGTATTGAATGCGTCTGATGTATGTAACCTTAACGTCCTTTTACTCTGCTTAAACAAGGCTTGAGTACAAGATCCATGTCAATACATCATAGGAGTTTTGATAAACTAATCCACAGCACTATTCGGCCATTTGCTTATAGGAAATCGTTTATCGGAGGCCTAAGTATTAAGTCTACAGCACTGTCCAGGAAATTAAAAGTACAAAGGAATGGGCAGTCATGCATTGAAACATTCCTTTACATTTTAGGAGGGATGCCCATTCATAGTCTGCATGACCTACGCTTTCCAAACTCCTGAGAAACTGTGCTTCATCCTTGATCTAATGAATGGTGGCGATCTGCACTATCACCTAACGCAGCACAATGTCTTCAGTGAGTCCGAGGTACGGTTCTACGCCGCGGAGGTGGTCCTTGGTTTGGAGCACATGCATAATCGCTTTATCGTCTATCGCGACTTAAAGGTTCGATTTATTTTGAACGTATTTCCCAGTTCTTATTAGTTCTACACTAGATACGTGGTCAGTTCATAAATGCGTGTTGTTCCAAATTTATAATGTAGATTCAGTGCATCAAGAATCGTTATTTAGTGCGCGAATCATTTCTAATTATAATAAAAAAGTTTTTTATGATCTTGAAAACAATTACGAAGCCGAAAAAATAGATGACACAATCAGAAGCTTGTACTTTTTGAATAGTGCTTAGAACCTGGTAGACCCCTTTGAAAGACTGATTATGAATCTCTTGGGCACAATTCACTTCGTCCATAGATTAATGCCACATCTGAAGTTCTTTTCCTCCCAATTAATTTGTACTTTACTGCATCATTTTTCAAATTTGAATACTATATTTGAATATTGTCCCTTGTTAACAAATTTTACTTACAGTGTGGGCCTCTGAACCTCTTTTACAATTTTATGCATTAATGGACAGATAGCTTATCAGTAAAAAGAGATTTCCTTGCCTTTTAAAGAATTCATTACTCAAAGGTAAAAATTGGATTGGATTGACTTTCACATAATAGTGCCGTTCATTGAATGTCATTAAAACAAAATTGTATATGCATCCGACCGCGTAAAATACATTTTTGTCCTTCAGTTCTTCGTAAAAACACCGACGCTTAGGCACTAAACCAGAACTAGTGTCATCACATGACGCGGCTGTTAAAATCCCGAAGACAGTCCCATTAAAGTTACGTGACACTTTGGTCATCACGTTTGTTTTCATAACTAAGCTGACGTAAATCGGTCCTTTCCGTAGCCGTTTTGTTCCCTGACAAGGTAAGGTTAAAAGAGGCTTTCAATACAAGTAGGAACCAGTGCTAAGGAAAAAAAACAAGTTGTACCTGCTTTATAAGGCTTAATTGCGCGAAAAAATTACATTGACATTTAAATGACGTCGCCTTTGACGCAACACTTTAAGGATGAATTTTCAGTATGGGCACGAAGTGGCTTCTGCAGAGTGAGTCTACTTAAAATGGACAGTGGCACACGTTTAAGCTGTGCTTCAGCTTGATACTATTACAGTGGATCTAAAAATTGGTTTCTACTGTTGGATTGGGAAAAGACGTATGGCTGACATAGCGAGTTTGTGAAATCTCACGCTTTAATCTTTTTTAGTAACATAGTTGCGCAAAAGAATGCAGGATGGTAAGAATGCTTCTGAAAGGGATCCAATTTGGCTATATACTTGTCGTAGTCAGGGAGATATCAGAAAATACTAAAAGTGCGAGTTTTGTTTTGACAAGTTACATTGCCTGCAAAACAAAGCAGTCTTGTTGATGAATTTTTCACTTGCATTTCACACCCTAACAGAAAATGCCCACTTCTGCTGCGCGCTTGTCACTCTATAATATGGAAATGATTTTTGCGATATTTCCGCCCTATCTGAATGAACGAACGAAGAGAATTAGAATAAGGCGCAGGAATGGGTTTGTTTATTTGGTACAAAATTGCCTAGAAATCGTATCCATGAGGTCCGTGGTGCAGCACTCTTAAAGTGTTCGCTTCTACTTTCTGATTTACGCTTAAATGATGCAATTACTTGTTTTTTTTTAAATGTGTTGTGGTAACTTAAGTGTTTGTGCCCTTAAGGCGGCATCTTATCGTGCATTATCGTCTTTCTGTATTTTTTAATGTTACCGGATGCAAATAAACAAAGGGAATCAAATTGTGCTTTAAAATTTTGGAATTGCACTTTAGTTGTGCCATTCGTTGGTAAGGCGTCTTTAAACATCCTATTTTTATCTTTGGAATACACCATAAAATTGATGGTGAAGACAAAAAGCCTCATTGCTGACCCTCATACTACACGTTTACTGGATACACTATTAAAAGATGGGTATCATTTTGTTTGCTGTTAATTAGTTTCTTGATCACTCCCTTTTGTTCCCATCTCAGAAGGATGGTTGGCATAATTAAAAGAGCCTAAATTTCGAGCAATGCAATACCTTATAATCATCGGATGCAGCTAGGGATGGAGTCCCCAAGTCATGAACCTGTGTTGTGAAACTCAACGTTACTAAAATTAATTTACATGAGGTAACTAAATCAAATTTTCCCCAAATTTTTATTAACGCAGCCCGCAAACATTTTATTGGACGAGTATGGCCACATTCGAATCAGTGATCTCGGACTGGCTTGTGACTTTTCGCGGAAGCGACCGCACGCCAGCGTGGGTACGCACGGTTACATGGCGCCGGAGGTGCTGCAACGTGGGCGGTCCTACGATTCTTCTGCCGACTGGTTCTCACTCGGCTGCATGCTCTACAAACTCCTCCGCGGGCACAGCCCCTTTCGCCATCACAAAGTGCGCGACAAGCACGAAATTGACCGCATGACCATGACCATGGTGAGTGCTGCGCCTCCCAACTCTCTTGCCCCTCTCTCAATGGCATTCGTTGTGCCAGCACCATGCACTTCAAGGAGGCGGCTTTGCATTGCCTGTTGCAAGTTGGCCATTTGCGATTTTCATCCCCTCTTATCTGATCTCGTAGCGTCGTGTGTTTTAGGGTCCGTCATAAAACGTGCATTTTATGTAGGAAAATACAAATGCTGCCTTTTTTTCAGCTAAAAATCATTTACTATCTTGCATCCTCCTCCTATGAGAGTGAGATGGGCTTTTTCGTTAGACTAGTTTTTTTTTTCCAATGAGGAAATCGGAATTTTCACACTCGGTATTTACAAGTCCACGCCTTTTAACACCAAGTTTGTTAGTTGGAAATTGATAGGTTCTAAAAAAATATGAAGTAGTTACCATTTTAGCAGTAGCTTCACGTATAGCGCAAAAATACTTTAAAGTCGAGTTTTAATCGTCTAGGGCCACTCCAAAGCTGAAAATTAGTTTTTCTGTTAATGTTTAATTCAGCCTTTACATTTTTTCCCAATGACAGGATATAGAACTTCCCGAAGATCTCTCTCCAGAAATGTACAGCCTTCTCTCCAAACTTCTGGCCCGAGACGTTGATTGTCGTTTAGGTTGCATGGGTCGCGGGTACGTCCAGCAAGATATTTAGAAATTGGTTTTCCTTGCCATCCAACTCTACTATAATTGGTGTTCGCATCCCGTCTCAGTATAAGCTGTCTTGACTATCCTTGACCAAGAGAATACATGGAAGACTCTTGGCCTATGGTAGTTCTATTTATTGTCACGAACTGTTGGTTATAACTAAAAACAAATATTCAGGGAATGGAGCGAGATTGCTCAGTTTACTCAGTATCATAATGATGTTCCTTTACTGTTGCAGCAAGCACTAAAGGGAAGTAGTGCTTCATCGGGGTCCAATGTAGGCATGCCAATAACTGGCGGTTGTCATTCGCAATAACAATCAAATGTACGTACAGTAGCGGTATAACTTGCCAATGTTAGTAGCACATAAAACGGTGCGCATTTCAAGCTGTTTGCTACATTTCAATTATGCAATAGAAAACGAATGAACCACAGTTGAAACTAACATTGTGTATTTCGATTCAAATGTATTCATTTGGTTAAAAAAACAAACACTTCCTCCATTCTACCAAAAGATGGCGCGATCGCCTTTGCTTTTTTCGTTTTATTCATTTCAAACAACTTGTCTCCTGCGTGATTTGATAATGTATAATTTAGCGCATGAATAGGTTTCTTACTAATTTAGTCAAGGCAGAATAGATAAGGTAATTTTTCCTCAATTTTTGAATATGATTTATTATACAGGCGCATGCCCAGTAATCGAACAAGAGTAAGAAATGGCAGTTGTATATTAGATCGACTTACATAGTTTTACCGTAACAGCTCTTTGTAAAGTGCGATTCATTAAAATTCATTCGATTAATGAAATAGTCACTTATGCATTATGCCACTCTGTTTAATTATTTTTCTGTTCAGTGGGGAGATTTTGACATTTGACACTTCGCCATATTGATTATCATTTAGACATTACCTCCGGTCATTGTAAAAAGATTTGGCATTTACAATTTTAACTAAATTTGGTAGCTGGGCACCACTGTTCTAAAAAACTCTGACAGTTTATTGGAGACGAATTTGTCCAAAGACCTTTGTTCTGCATTAAACTGAATTGACGTTCGGGCTTCTCAGCACGTTATCATTCACTGTTATTGTTGGTTGTGATTGTTTATCTTCCAGAGGTATTCTTAAAATCATAGCGTTTGTCGCCATCTTTACTGAAAATGGGGGTTGGAATACAGATTTGGCCAATGACGACCGCCCTTTTCACACTTCTCGTTCCTGCTAGGTAACGGGTCCATCCCACTATACGCAGTTACTGTCACGTGGGAACAGCACAAAAAGAGATAAATCCTAAAAGTGGGCATGCTTTTAATTTAATTTGAAATTTTGAAGGTGAATTACATTTCAAAAATGCGCTTGTCAGTTTTTTACAGCCGCATAATCCAGTTGGAAGTAAGGCGGTACCAGATAAAATGATTACAATTACATGATAGCACCTTTATCTACGATACTGACGTGATTGGCACTTTTCGCTTCATTGCAGTGGCTTTAAGGCCTCATTTTCAAAGGATGGCAGTTTCCACTTAGCCTTTAAGGCGTTTTATTTCTTAAACGCACACAATTTCGTGACCAATCGCATCAGACTAAACTTGAACGAATCGCTCTACACGCACACCAAAAAACCCCTTTTAACTGTATATCCTGCGGACAAATTTGTCAAAGCCTGATTCCAAAAAAGCTTGCCGTCCTTTTATGTCCTTCCACGTTTTTAACCATGTTTTGACTAGTTATTTTTTCTTGGTTCAGTGGAAGAATGTGACTACAGCTGAAACCTTAAATAATTTTGGAAAGAAATTCAAAATTTGTACATTCACTCTTCTACTCGTTGCACTGACGTCAACGAGTATTCTGTATATCCTGGTTTATGTTTGCAAAAAAGGAGAAGAGTGCTTGTAAAGAAAAATAATAATAACTAGACGTAGCGTCGTTTAGAGTATTCACTACCTCAAATACTCTTTTATTAAACCCACCTTTTTGCTATTTAATTCTTTTATAAGTATGGTGTTGCCGAATGAATCTGGTCAGGATTTATCAGTCACTCGATGGGAACAGTTCAGTGTCAGCGACGGTCTATTCTTTTATCCTTAAAAGGACGTGCACAAGCACGACGACGCAGTATTGTGGTGTCGAAAAGCTATCGTGCAATATCACCAATAACCCTAGCGTTCTCCTCTTTCGACACAGTCCACTATTTCACTCACCTGGCTGCAGAATATACTTAGCTTACAGTTTTTTCTTCAAAAATCGTGTTAGATTCCCTAATCTCGGTCAGGTATGCGCATAGCATTTGGCCAGCGAAGATTGCACTAGGCATATGCTTAAGTGCCACCGCATTCATCGTACCATTTGCGTTCTTTCAGGATGTAAAGATCTCTACTTCTTAAAGCGTGTTTTTAATTTGGGGCCAAATTTCACATTTTATCCAGTCCATCTGTAATGTTAATAGTCTATTACCCATTTCAAATAATTGCATTAAGAAGATAAGATTAGCCGAAAGGCTGATCATTGTCCCATTTGGAGTCTTGGAATTGGTCGTTGAGTTTTCCACTTCAACCGGGAATGTTATTCATTTTTGATAAAGAAAGAGGGGAGAATTCTTCGATCTCGTGGTAAGCGTAATAACACCTAGCCGTTTCATTGGAAACTCATTTTAGCCCAAATGCAAAATAGGCTAAAATCAGTCTCATTTTTCGCTGGGCTTAGAAAACGTAACCGGAAATTCGAAGAAAACTTGAATGATCTGAGAAATTCTTCGACATTGGCATGGCCCAAATGCTAAATGTAGAGCATAAATCCTCACCGCTTTGTAACTTGGACATTATATGCCATTTAGTGGACAGAGGATAAAATGAACCACGAATTGTGCAATCGGATTTGTTTGAAGTTTATATGTACTTCGATCATAGCATCGTAACTGAGTGGAAAACGGCAATCATTCATTCTTTAGTTTTATGTCTGCTTTAAGCGTCACTTTTGGTCATAACAAAATCTAGGCTCACGCTCCAAATTATGTACTCTATAAAATCTTTGGGCACGTTACCAAATGTTCCATCAGAATCTCAAATAGGCCTATTTCCCTTTAAAGCAGTTCTCAATTCAAATTTCTAATTCTTTGGAGATTTAATCAATTGCGCAATTCACGGACTCTGTAAGAGGGGTGCGGCTCCGTTAATACATTCCTCGTTGACTCACTTCAGTTTCTGCTCGATTGCAGATCCTTGGAGGTTCGAGAACACGAGTTTTTCAAAGACATTGACTGGCAACTGGTGTACCACCGCAAGTACCCCCCACCCCTCATCCCACCACGTGGCGAAGTTAATGCCGCTGATGCCTTCGATATTGGATCCTTTGATGAAGAGGACACCAAATATATTAAAGTACGTTGTCCCCTTCTTCCTCTTTATTGCTCTTCAAAAGAGTTTCTTGGAGTCAGCTTCTTTCCAACTGAGAGCTAAAAAAATGCGTTTTTGATCGAGTAAACGCTACGCTAGATGGGTTGGTGCATGAATCATGATAGTTTCTATTTTTATAAGCTTCATACCCGGCATTTTAATGCAATACGACATTTACTGATGGCAGTGGCAAACCGGGGGCGTCCTACTCAGAAAGCATTAAACCATGCATTTTCCATTTGTTTATTAATTATTCAAGAAAACAATTTTGTTCTCAAGTCGGTTGTTGCTGTCTAGCTGTTAAGGTTGCATCTCTTCTTTCTCTTCCATCTCTAAATGATGGGCAAAAGCCACGTTATAAATAGTGTAAACAAGACCGTGTGAATAAGTAATGCTGGTAACCAGGATGTGTCCGTGTTTGAAGTGCGTCCATTGTGAAACAAAGGTCACGCTAAATAGACCTCTTACGTATTTATCTTCATTCTCATTTGTACTTTAGTGGACAGCGATGGGAATTGCATTCAGACGTCGTAAAAAAAACATGACAATTTTTGTAAACGCGATGTTTAACACTAACCTAGACACAGCATAGATGAGTAGTTTCAGAAAATATCACTAGTTTTCAAGTTCTTGCCCCCATGAATCATGTAAAGCTAGAAATCGTTGTAACGCTTGTGTTCTTTTTTACAAAAAATGGGCACGACTGAGTTCAGCAACCCACTGAGGTGGTTGTGTTTCGGATGACGTGATTCACCATGCCTGGGTTGACAAATGAGCTTCTTTGCCAAACTACGCTTAGGTTAATTTTAAGTATGGTATTCTCTGTCATCTCCCTTAGATTCAGTTTGTTCCACAATTTGTCTGTCTTTAAAGTAAGCAAGCATTTGCACGATCCTTGAAAGGAGGCTCCCTACCTTTTAAATGCACTTTTAAAACCATCTGCCCACTTTGATGACAAGTCTAGCATATTCTTAAAATGTTAATTTCAAAATCTTTTAGCCAAAAAGTTTGTTTTAAGGCGCTTTATTTTTCCTCCCTTTTCTGGTTTCGAAATATGGTGTTGTAGAAAATATATTGATGCATATCAGGTCGTGACGCGGCTAAAAGCTTCAGGTTGTAAATAGTGAAGAAGTGAAACATCTTCCGGAGTAGTTCATTTGATTGCGTTCACAATTTTTGTTGGGTTTGAGAAAAAAGATGATACTTTGTTGAGCCCTGTATGCGTACAATCCGGGAAACTTGGATGGATGCTATAATGATTGCGCTATCCACATTTGATGCAAATATTTTAATTCAGGTCTGTAGGCATGACTATTGTAAATTTGCCACCAAGATGAACCTTAGATTTTATTAATAAGTGAGGCGGTAGAATCGGGCAGTGTGGTTGGGGAGAAATCGCTATTTTTTCCTGCAAATAGTATGTGATCATTCGCCACCGAGAACCCGGTCCTAGAATATACCTTTAGCTTGGAACTTGCTTGCATACAATCCGTGCATTACAAAATTTATGCATTCTAATTGTTTATCCTTTCGTCTTTATGACATCGCATTATTTGGACCTCGGCTCTTTAACACATTATTAGCGACTTTACTGGCTCAACGGTTTTTTTTTACTTTCAAGGTATTTTATTTACCTACTTTTCGCTCTCAGCATTAACAGTTTTTTATTATCAAGCTTTCACCGAACCTAGGAGTGATAATCAGTCTTTCCTCCAATCTTTCACCAGAGAAATATCAATTCTTATGCCGAATTTTAGGACTTTTTCCTCTGCTTCGCGTTCTCAATTTTTTGAGCTGTTATTTCTTTGCACCCTTTCCGTAAAAGTGCTCATGTTCGTTATCGCGTCATCGCTGTACAAGAAACTTCGTGCATCCTAAGCGGCTTTTCATGCACATTACCGGTTGAGTAATTAGAGACCTCAGGAGAGGATATGTGCCCATTTTCATTCAAAGGCTGCTTCTCATTATCGCCAGTTCCCCGTTTCTTACGTCTTCAATCTTTGTTGTTTTTTTTAAATTAAATGCAAATAACTGAACTTTTCTTAATTAATGCCTAGATGATGGATTATTCAAATGTACTGCTAAAAAGATTACTGCTGTGCCCCCCTACTGCATGGATTTTGTGTGGAATTTTAAGTAGGAATATTAGCGTTCTCTCTTTACAAAAACCTATTTGATAGCATAAAGTGTTCGTATCAAACTGTGCGAAAATCCTTTCAATGGAATTTGTGAGGTAAATTAACTCTAAAATTGGCCGCTTTGAAGAAATGTCAGACATAGACTGATGCACTATTTTTGCATCTGCGTACATTTCATAATAATGCACCCCTGACACTTAGGGTGCTGCCCTTATTATCTGATGCATTGCTTTCATTCTCCCGTCTCTAGTTGACTGAGAGTGATCTTGAACCTTACAAGAACTTTTCGCTGGTGGTGTCTGAGCGATGGCAGCTAGAGATAGCAGAGACGGTTTTTGATGTGATCAACCAGGAGACTGATAGAATTGAAAATAAGCGCCGTTCAAAGCTGCAACAACAACAGCAGCAGCAGGGATCACAGAACTCCGCCGCTCCCTCCTCTACTACTGCCCCCACATCCAACACTTCCCCCTTCACCCCCTCATCCTCCAGTCAGAAAGCCTTGTCCACCTCGAGCTCCGAATGTTCCACAGGAGATATCTCTGTCAGCACCGATCCTCACTCCACTCAGCTGAACTCCGATTGCATTGTCGAAGGCGACATTCTCAAGCTCGTGGGGCCCTTTTTCCAGACATGGCAGCGCAAATTCCTCCGACTCTTTCCTAATCGGCTTGAGATGTACAGCAAGTCGAGAGATGGAACTGTTGTCAAAAAGGGAGTCGAGGTAAGGGGACTTCTTTACAATTACATGCAGAACCTTCATGTTGAAGCGAGATCTAGGGTTTTATCTGGGAAAAAACATATTTTGCATAATCCTCGGCTAGTATTTTGGATTTGTTTTGCCTTTTCGCTAATGCTTTGAAAGCTCTTGTTGTAGAAACATTTGCCATCAAGCTTGGACGGCTTAGGACAGTCTACTTTACTGTGGTAAACTTAGAAATTACGAATGGCTACTGTAGTGGTGGTCCAGATGTCATCACGGTTGGGATAGCCCATTTTAAAATACAAATAAATACATGTGAGCTTTACACCTCTGTTCACAAGAAGCTTCGTCACCACATTCCATTCACGAAATGCCAGTCCTGGTGAACGATGTCTGGACTTGCTTGTGACATCTGCGCCGAGCATTAGTAACGAAGAAGTTACCACTCACTGCCTCCAAAAGTGTGCATCCTTCTTTGACTTGAACGCCTCTCGTATGATTGTGATTTGAGAACCTTGAAACGCTGTTGACCTTTATGCTGGTCTACAAACGATCACTTGCCCATGATTTTAGCCTGCAAAATATTAGGAAATACGTTAAAATGTGAGTGAGCCGTCAATAAATTGGATTTGTACTGCGCACTTTTATCAAGAATGTTATCTTATCAAAATTGAACTTTTATCTCTGAAACAATTGCTGTATTGTCTATTTTGTTCAACAAAGTCAGTTTTATCGCTTTTTTCATCGACTTTTAGCTGATATCTATGGTTGATATCCGAGAGATTTCGCGAGATTTCCAGCGAATGTATAAAATGGACAATTGTTTGACAATCACCCTGAAGAACGATTCTAAAATCGTCATTACTTCGAGTGTAAGCATCTCTCATTTCTTTAGAATTTCAACCCCTCACACCGAGACCATATGCACTTTGTTAACGAAAAATAGTGTAGCACAGTCTAATTCCAGAACCAATGCTTCTTTAAGGACAAAGTTCTTATCACACAATGGAAGGAGGAGATAGAGGAAGCCTTCCAAATATCAAACGAGCTCATTTCAAATTTAAATAAGAAGGCGCACAAAGTGTACGGCGCTGAATCACCTCCCCGACCGTCCACTCCAGAACAGTTGGGGACCCGTACACCTATTAGGAGCAAAGCCGCCGCTGCTAGCGAGTCAGTTGGCTCGCAGAGCCTTGTGCGTCAGACCTCTGTGCCCTCAATGGGGCTACAGAAGTCTCTCACCAAGCTCTACTCCTTCACTACCCTCTCTGGCGGGATGAGCGGTCACTTCGAGCGCTCGCCTGCCAGATCTATGGTGGGGCCCATTGCGGAGGGGGATGGCGAGACCCGAGAAGTCCACCAATCTTCCCGTGATGATGCCTGAGAGGCGCTGTGGCAACATCTGGTGATGAGTGAGATGATGGACAGTCTGACGTAGAGAACCGCGTCTCTCCCTCCCACACTGCACGCGCAGTTGAGAATTACGTAGATGTGCACAGTCAAACCATACCGCCAACCAGACTGCAATGCTTTTTGTGCGTCCCCTCTCACCCCATTAGCCCCTTTTCGCTCTCCAGTGTAATAAATCAAGCGCTCTTCTACAAGTCTTTTTAATTCTACGACCAGGATGATCGTAGTGCTCGAGAATATGTTTCTGGAGAAGTGATTGGGTTGGTGTCACACATTAGGTTTCATTTGTATGAATATTCCAAAACCCATTTGAATTAGCCTGTTTAAGTGTGCGAAAATTTCAACGTAGTTTCATCAGTAAGAAGGCGTATACGGGGTGCGGTGGTCTTGGGAGTTTTGTTCAATTCTGATGATGGCTAACGTGTGACCATGCAGTATCAAAGAAATAGCGAATTGTCAGATGTTGACAACTCATAAAGGGAGCCAGAGTACCAGTCAAAGAATGACGGAAAACTACATATCAAACAACAAAACTAGGTAGGGGTGTCATTGACTAGAATGAAAAGCTTTTTACTAACAACTTTGGGCCAAAATGCTTAAATACAAATAGTTAGTACTGTATATGTAAAATAAAAAGCCATCGAGCATAAAGCATGTTAAAGTGGGGAGTATTTTGTATCCAACTAAAATAATGCCTAAATTTAGCATTTGTTTAGCTTTTGGCTCAAAATAACAATTATAATTGTTTTTGGGGTGTTTGGAAACGGGCGCGATCACTTAAATGAACAATATGCTTAAATACTGATTATGAATAATTGCTTAAGCATGCAATCTTCTGTGTGTATATAACACAACCAAAAGTTGTACTCCACTAGACACGTTTAAGTTTGTTATTGTTTCGCCTAACTTTGAGGATGTATAATGGAAACGTCCGTAAATGTTTGTTTTGATCGTTCTTAGTAGCGCGAGGTGCAGATTTTCGGTCGTGGTTGCTTTGCTGTTTATGGAGGACATCTGTCCAGTATGCCATAAGTCTGGCATCGTATCTCCACTGTGTAGTGTGTCGGTTCCCTCTGGAACGCTTTCCGGATTATGTTCCAACCCTTCATGCATCTATCCTTTCGACTCCTATAGTGGTTTGCTCCACTCACTTGCGGCTGTGGCGCCAGCTGATGCGAGTCAGGAGCAGATCTCGTCTAATTTACAAGGTGGTGCCGTTGGTTCACCCGGAGTGCTTATGGAAGCGCCGAATCAAGCTCAGCATGAGGGACATCTTGTTACTTCTCAAGCAGGGGGGATCTTAGATACAGCACAATGCCGTCTGGAGGTGAATGATACGTCTTTGCCAGTCCCTACGTATACTAGTGCTCAAAAACCGTGTGCGATCTTGCCGCGATATTTGGCTGATTCGTTGAAACAAGGTATGTGGTTTCGTATGCATCACTTTGTTAAGTCTTTCAATATATTAAGAACCGTATTGTAGTTAAGCATTCTTCTGATTTAGCTAGTTTACGATCATGCGGATGTACAGCTAGTTCCAGTGATAGTGGAATTTCTTCAACGTCGACATCATCAAGTCTCAGCTATCACGAAACCTTGGCCTTGCGCGTTCAACAACGTGCGTCAAGGAGCAGCGAGTCTTCCAGAACACCACGTTGCGTCTCGCTTCTGGAAAAATATACCCGTCAAAATGGTCTTTGACACTTTCTTGCAAATATTTTGTACATTTTTCTCATTGTATATACATTGTTATTTTCTTATTCCGAGCTAGATTTCGTGTTTGATCACTTGGTACGCACATATGCTTAATTATGAATGTGGCTGTCCACTCATTGCGTGCATTCGTATAGTTTGGTAGGATGGCTAAAGCGTAGCTAGCTTTTTCTAAATTCATTGGGACCTCAGATGTGATTGCTACTTACTCTAAGTGGAGTTTCAGCATGAATAGCATCCCGGTGGACATGAAGGTTACAATGTCGCAAGGACTGGCTCCGGGAGTAGGCGTGGCTTGCGAACCCATAGCGTGGGCATTTGGCTAGAAGATCCGATCGGCTGTACGCACAAGTGCTCGTAGTAAGTGTATATCCGTCTGGAAAATTAAGTGATAAATGCTCAGACAATGCACGCCTCGATATTTTTCTGGACTTAGGTAAATCGTCTTATAGTGATCTGCATTCATTTGCGTAAAGATACCAACTTTTCAAAGCTGCGCTTTTGTTTAAGAATTTTCTCCGTCGATGGAGATGTGCCACTTCTAGGTTCCCTTTTATCAGGCTGGTAGCCACATGGTGTCCCACTAGTTCGAAATTAATATTCCTTATATAGGGCCACATGTGCATTTCCTCCAACCGAATGGGAACATTTAACGGTGTGCTATAGAGATGAATAAGTAATTTGCCTTGATACATCATTTCCAATTAGTGGTTTCAGGTTTGATGCGTCAACGGAGCGTTTAACTACATTTCCAACACCAAGGTACAAGCCGATATGTTCTCTACTTTGCGTAGTTGGCTGCAGTATATCATGATGTATTCCGAATTTATTAACCCGCTTCTCAGCATACATTGCTGCTCACTCAAGTCTAAAACAGTGAACCGGATATTTAGTTGATGGTATTGGCTCTAGAGCTTGCACGCATTAGATCGTGTGTTCAGGTGGTTGGATCATCCATGGAATGTTGGTAGCAAGTTTTCATTCACCTTGTCAAGCAATTGTCCCATGAGTATATTCGGCTTTCGAGGCATCTGTCGCCGAGATCGATTACTTTGGGACTTCGTAAGGCGTCTAATGATCATGGGTTGTCCTAGCCGCTGCATGTATGTCTCGACCTCCAGCCTCTCGCTTATCGAAACGTTTTACGCCTTGTACATGACCATTTGAGGTGATTTGGTCAACACGTCATGAACTACGACCCGTACCTCCCAATTTGCGAAGGTTCTGCGAAAGTAATTCCCTCAGCTTGCTTTCGAAAAAGGATATCTAACACGCAGTAGGCTGTAACGAAGGCAAACTGGTGTAGTTAGCTGGCCACTTAGGTAATCTTTTGAGGTGTAAATCTCATGTCTAATGACCGAAACACTAGGTTGAGGGCTTACTCTACTGTTGCTGCCAGAATATGGTCGCTTAGCGGAACTACTCTCCACGAAAGAGTCTATTCCTTTTAAAATATTAGAGTGATTTGGAAGGAGGATCCCATTTTGTGACATTTTATTTGCCTGGTTGAACAGTAGTATGTTTTGCCAACTTACTGCACAGGTTTAGGAACTTCAGAGGTGTGGTGTTCAGCGTAATTTCATTTAATGGGGCTAAAAGATCGCCACTTTTAAGCATCCTTACATTTTGACCTCGTATCTCCAAAGCTTAAAGTAAAAGTCGCGAAGAAGTCGACTAATCATAGGTGGCTGGCAAGATGAAACATATTTGACGTTTACGAAGGTAAGAACTCTCATCCCACAACACAAGATGATTGAATTTTCGTGTACAGTTCTAGATTTTTTTGTATGTCAACAATTAATGAAGAGTCTCAACCACAATTTTGAGTAGTGTAAATGAACCAGAATCTAGTGCAGCACCCTGAGACTTCCCTGAAGAGGGAAGGAGAAGTAATGCTAGAGCAAAGTGTGTTATTGATATACAGAATGGGATAAGGGCTACTGGCATGGTTTAGAGGACATGCCCCCTGGCGGAAGTACAGAGGCGGAGCATTAAGTGTTCATGAAATTAAAATGAGTAGTTAAATGAATCGTTAAGGTTTTGCATCTAGGACAAGAGCACATACATGCCCACAGCGGAATATGATCAAAATAAAAGGTGCAGTTGCGTGTTGCATAAATTAACGCTTTTGCTGGCATTTTAGAAGGCAATGATCAATTTGGGTGTAACGTCTAATGAGCATTTGGCCGCATACCTTTCAAAATACTCACACCTCCAGTTTACAAATTTACTTGAATATCATTTAAGTAAATGCGTGATCGCTTTAATCCTCGTGATTAAAGCAAAGATTTTTATTTATACTTCTTCAATGCCACCCATCCTAGCACGCCTATGAGGTCGTTTTCATGCATCATCAACGATATTCATGTACAAAGGTAGAAGGTATTCAATGGTATGTGAATATAAAACACTATAAAGCAGCGTGCATTCGGAAGCATTTAAATGATCACCTGAGTAATTGGCATTACTGCTCACGGACACTTTACGAATCTCAAAGATTGGCAAAGCTATTGGAAATAAGGAAATAACGTATACATCTACCGTGGAACCACACTGGAGACTTGGAATGTCTCGAGAGACTCAAGTCGGCCTCAGTCGAAGGCACAATGACCTCAACTCAGCTGGGAATCGGGTAAATGCTAAATGGATTTTTCTTATCCAATCAAATCACATTTGACAGTTTGACGTGTTTTGTACATCTGAAGAAGACGGTAGTTTCTGAACTACACATTTACTACTCCAATTCCCATATTTATAAATCGTTTAAAGTCAAAACCAGATTTAAGTACCAAAGAAAGAACCGACGGGCAAATATTAGGTGGTAACTGTTCGGAAAATCAGGTAGAAAGATAATATTTCGGATCACATAGGTGTATTTCAACATGAATGCTCAGTTTTGATATTTCATTTGAGAGTACACTTAACTACATGGGTACTTCAGCAACTGAAAGTTATAATTCCCATCCATGAAATGGACTCCAGGCCGTGTCATCGGCCTCCAGCTAATCTGTGTGTTCGCAATATATGCTCTCCCATAGCACTTTAAGTGATTGTAACTTCGAGGCTACAGTTTATTAGCTATAGATTTACAAGGGCTCATTAATAAAAAAATTGCTAAACAAAGTGTAACAGGCTGGTCGCTTGTCCAACTGTCGGTGTTGCTAAAGGGCCACTTTGTCTTGGCCATGTACCTCGCTGGGGTGGGATGGACTCCAGGCAATGCTAGTAGCCCTAATCCCTCCTGTATGTCATATATATATATATGCCTTCTTTTGTCTTCAGGAAAGTCTCGGGGTGCTGCAAAATAATATTAACTAATCACATTATGTCAGGCGAAACAAAACAACCAAAAATATGCTGATAGCTTCAAAAAGAAATACCTTTTGAATTAATAAAGCCGAAAAAGAGGCCACACCGACCTCATTCAAAAAACAGGGGGGTTCCCTTACACATGACACTACTACTGGTTGATAATACTATGGTTCATTGCAAATCGGAATCCATCTAGGCGGTTGATTACGAAGTTTAGAGGACTGAAGCTCACGAATGATTTAAGACGTTCGTAAAGTATGTTTCACGAAACTGCAGAGGCAAGTCACAAATAAATGTATCTGTAACAAGTTAATACACTGCTTAAGTGTATGCTTAATCACACTGGGTAGTCGTTCTCCACAGGTTGTGCCCGAGCTCGGAGACATGGCCCCCCGGCCGCGGCAGTAGCCTCCCAGCCCTTCTACGCATTTGTAGCAAATCTTGCATTAAGGATTTTCAAGCCTCAAGGAAGACCCCATTTGGCTACACGTGAAAAATGAATCCGAGAGAGGATTCAAGCTTCCCAATATATAAATTTACGGACAGATATGCAAAGGAAGGTCATGCAAGCCTCAATTTAGTGTTCATAAGCTTAGTCATCATGCCAATCGGTTGCCACTTAAGCTTGTCAAAATTTTGTAATGACAATTGAATAGCAAATATCTAACAAGTTGATATTTAAGGGGCACAAAGGTAAGTGATCCTGTTAACGATCATAGATTTATCAACCTTTTATTTAGAAAGACTACTCGTGACCCAACGATTTAACAAACGCGGAAAGCCAAAATTCGGCCCAGCTAAATACAATAAGTAAATGCCACTAGCCACTTGCCAAATTGCAAGGTTTGTTATTTTGTTTTAACTGGCCGCTTAGCATTTAATAGCGTCTCGATTTTTTCAAAATGAAGAAGACCCATGTCCCAGGTCATTCATATGACGACTTTATCAACAGTTGCTGGACCCCTCTTTCGCGCCCAAAAGTGTCTCATACTGTAAGGATAAAAAATTTCGTAACAGGTTTAGCTAACTCAAGAGAGATCAATGCTTATATGCAAATGGGTATGTTATTTGGTAATAAATTCATACAGTTTAAACAACATTAACAGTTTTCTCAGTGGACGTCGAGTGAAAAAATTGAATTACTTACAAAATTGTTATTCACTACTTCTTTAAGTGAGCGAAAGAAAATCTATCAAATTGTCAAATCAATTGTTCCGGAAACTGCCATTGATTTCACGAGAATTTTGCCGCGTATTGTTTCTACCTACATATTCTCTTTTTTGGACCCTCGTAGTCTTTGTAGAGCAGCTCAGGTAAGAATCTTTTGCATCTCTTTAGCCTTTTTAGTCAAACATATTTCAGATGCCTAAAATTAACACACGTTTAACTAATAACATAATAATAGGCATAGCTGGAGCAAATGCATAGATACATGTGTGTTGGCCTCATGACAAGAGAAACAAAAGTTAAATAAAATCAGACATAGTATGCATTTGATTTGTAGATGGCAGTTTAATGTGAATTTTCGGATGTTGGTTTTGTAGCGTATTGATCTTTAAACAAATGAGCAATTGAGGCAGGCCTTTCCTAAAACCCCAATAAAGCCTAAATTTGTTAATGTAAAAAAATAGGCTGCTAATCACAAGCATGACTATCTAGCTATGTGCGTACGGTGAAAGTTCAAATCATGGACTGGAAATCTCGTTGACATCAGCTACGATATGGCTTCTCTGTCTTCTTGAGGAAAGTTCCTGGCCCCCTCGTTTTCCATTCACAAACCCCAGTGTTTCAAGTAAAGGCAGCCACCATATATTTATGAAAGCAAAAAGACTTTGACCCCAACGTCAATGAAGCCCAACACTACTTCCATTATATCCGTATTTTCATCCAGCTTGCAAATTGCGCTGCGAGCAAAATATTGCACTAATATTCCCTACTGCGATGGACCGAGAAATACGCTACAATAAGCACACTCTATCTTTAACTTCCGTTTGTAGAGCATTAAAATAAAATTTACCCATTTAATCTAAACTTGTTTTAGGGTGGCTTCATGAGGCCCATCTCTTATAACCCTTTCTTGTTGTTAATTTGTTCTCAATTAAATTCCTCACAACTATCTATCTTGACACCATTCAACCATTAAAGACAGGACAGTAAGAAAATTCGACTAGTTATTTGCATGTTTTTCATAAGTGCTATGGATGGTTTTACAATGAATGAATTCAAGTCATTTATGTCTGGTCCTGTCAAATTTATTAATTCTTTCTTAAAAGTAGTTTGGATAAACACCTATTGTAGATAGTCTTTTGTAACCTTCCTGTTATCAAAAATTTGCTAATTTAGATACCCGAATTAGACGCCTTTTTTAATTTATAATCCTAATTTTCTGAAATTAGCCAAAGAAGTCGAGATGGCTGCCTTCGGATCAAGTTCATTTGCTGCTCTTATCAATTTAGCCCATCAAACCTTTCTTGAAGCCATCGCAAATCATGGCAATATAAAAGGGTCGTATTTCTTACATAGAGGAAGGGTGATGGTCCAAAAGTGTAGTCTTCTGGTCATCCAGTCCTGATGAGGGTACTTATTACTGGGAGTGAACAGCCCATATAGTTAAATATGTCCCCAAACATGTAGGATATTATAAAAATTATATGAAAAAGCAAATTTTGTTTTTCTGGAGCTTTAAGTACGTGAAGTCAATGACATACTTCAATACTTTAGTCTGCTTTGGTAAATTACTAAGTGTAAGTTTTTACTTATCTTCGTGGATGTAAACATTTGACTGACAGTTTTGGTGTTGCTTTACGCTAAAGTGTGAGCAGGCTTACAGCGTGTTAGTAACTATGTAAAACTTGTTTCTGATTAGGTCTCGTGTTACTGGAGAATTTTATGCGAATCCAATTCAATTTGGGCTCCAAAGTGTCTTTTGTTGGGCTGGCAGCTTCCAAACGTCCTAGCACAACCAGAATCCGGTGCCTATAAGCAACTATACATAGAAAACATGTTAAACTTACGCCTCGATAGCTCACCTCAAGTAAGTTTTTTTTAAAGATTGTACCGTTAGTAGAATGCTGACAGAGTTTCTTAAAAGTAGATCGTATATTTCACTTGTTTTAGTTTAAATCAGAGTTGAAAAAAATACGAAAGAGGCTGGCGCTAGATGAGCAAAGAGCGGCTGAAAATAAGAAAAAGCAATCAAAAGGACAGAAAACCCCTCTTGAGCGCAGTCAAGTGCATTGGAGTCCTCAGCACCGTCAGACGTCAGATACGCCAAGAAATGCTCGGAGTAGCCGACAATTTTCAGCGGTCTCAAAGTCACTTGAGGGGTTCGTAAAATATTGATGCCTATTTATACTGCAAATCTTAAAAGTAAAAATAGTTTAATGAGAAGCCATTTAAGAAGTTTTGGGCATGGGGTGGTATTTAGAATCGACTTAAGCCAAATAAATCCAAGAATTAGCAGCCGACTTTGTAATATTAACCACTTACAGTGGAAAGATATTTAGAAATGCCAAATTTTAAAACTATCCTTCCTAAAAGTAGTATTTTTAGGTTACCTTCCACGAAGCTTTCGAATGAGTCTCATATGAGTTCTAAGAGGCCCTTTAACAGAACCTTGGTGCGACAAACTAACAACAGAGCGAGGGTTGCCGCGGTCACTGAGCGACTATCAGCGCCTTTGGAACGTCAGAGAAATTCGGCCACCTGTCATCCACCGATTCTGGATATCATCCGTAATGTGGAACGTCTACATCAGCAAAAATCAATAAAACCACAGCCAAAGGCTCCTACAGCAATAGTTAACGCTTCTTATGATCAAGAATTTGTCCCACTATCACCCAAGGTTGGTCATTTTTCTTTCTCTCCTATTGGAAAGCACGGAACTCCTCTATAAGTAAACGTTATAAGTGACAGTAAGCTTGTAGTTTTCTGAGAGTCATTAATGTAAAGGATTAGATGTGCTAAAGATGGTGTGGCTAATGAACGAATACTTGATAAAATTCACTTTATTTTATAGGCCGTTAAAGCCCTCCCAACTCCTCCACCATACAAATTTGGGAAGATTGAAGAACAACCGGAGAAAACCTACAATATAGGGAAAGAAAATGCAATATTTGATTTAATCAAGGATGTACCAACGTAGAGGGAGTCATATTTGCCGTTTCTGACCAGTACTGTATCAGTTTACTTACTGCAGAAATTTTGGTGTTAATGGAAACATAAGTTCTGGATCCGTAATTAATAGATGAATTTATACACATTTATATCTCATATATCTATCTGAATCTTGAAAACTGAGAACGCTGTATTGTGGTTAACAGAAATAGAAAGTGGGTGCATCTGTTAGACTATCATTCCTTAAATGTATAAGATCAAATGTATGCTTACTAATTAGATTTGAGTAAGGTCATATGTCTTTTGCCAGAGGGTGTGCTGGTAGTGGTTTATGTAGTTATTCGTTAAAATGTAAAAGAGCGTTTTAAGTATATTTGAGTGATAATGAGGAGCTTGTGCACCACTGGATATCAATGGAGGTGATGGTTTGAGAGCTTGTGCTTTAAGGTATTCGCCAGTAAAAACTTGCATTTGATGAAGCTATAAGAAGGCATAAATAATTTACAACATCCAAAATGCCAACAAAAGGAATCATGAGAATTCAAATACTTGTTTTATAAGGTTTCAACCTGTACAGATTGAGACGCAATACAGGGGAAAAGAACGCCCGAGAATACCCATGTGATTGTTCAGAAAGTGCTATTAATGTAGAAAAACTTGAAACAAGGGTGTGAGGCATTAAATCTGATGGGAATAAGATATGCTGTGGCTCATTGATGTCAGTCCTCTCGGTATTTCTCATATTTAGCAAAGCATTGATATATCGATGCATTCCACCAGTTTTTTAAGTTATAATGTGTAAAAAGTGAATTACTTCTCCAATTAATTAATATTCCTCTTTCATCCTTATCTTTAAGAAATGGAGCTGGGAGTATTTTCGCCGTAAAATTTTTAATACCCATCTCGAAACAATCTCTGGGATCTCTGTCCTCTTGTAGAGTTTCCGCAAAATTCAAATGTGAACGACCTGAATTGTGGTATGACCGTCTTCTGAGAGTGGTTAATCGACTCAGGTCACTTGCATATCCGACATCTTACTGATCAAAATACTTTGTACTGTCACAATTCTCTAGTCGCTTGCATCGAAGAGGATAATAAAATAAGTGGAATGATGATTCTGTCAGCTTGAGAGACATATGCTTGTAGACTGAAGGTAGGGCATACATATTCCAACTCAATCCACAAGATTAGGGTTTAGTTATTGTTAACGTATAAAAAAATATGGATACTGCATCGAGATTTAGTAATTTAATCATATTCGTCTTCCTTTAATCGCACAGCACTCATAGCGCCATGGGCGATGATCTTGGTGACCTCTAGAGAGTTACGCATTTCCTTTGGAATGAAATTGAGCTGCTGGCAACAAGATAAATGCAACTGAGTGGTAAACAAATCACCATAAGTTAGAAATTGCTAGAATTAAAATACCCAAATGACAAAAAAAATAGGGTGGGAATAAAGTTGTACGACCTGATTTTTCATGTCCCGAAAACCCAGATACTGTTCCACGCGCATACTCATCTTTTTGAGCCGCTAACTTTCAAGGAAACGTGATTTTTATTACGCGATTCCTGTCCACATATCTTTACACCATCATAGCGTTAGTAAAGTATGGCACCATCGAAGACGTTTCACAATCTTAAGTGGCACACGAGATTTGCCAACTATAGGCATCTCAAGTGTGTGATAGTCTGAAATGCTGATTCCGTGGCCACAGACCCCGGTATGATCAAAGAAGTTCAATTGGACCTCATCGCAGAGTGTTGTTTCTAACTTAGGGTTTTGTGTAACTCTTGTAATTTTCTAGTGTTGCATTTTTAATGGAATATTGACATTGTGATTAATTAATGGATGAATACAAAGCATAATACAGAGGTTTGTTTTAACCGTCCTAATAATAATTAGTTGTCCCGAGTTGTTTCAGTAAAAGGAGCATTTATGCTAAGGAACTAAATAAAAGCAAATTAAGGAGTTGTTGTGCTTCATGTGCGATCAAGGTGCATCTAAATTATAAGAGTTACTGTTAAAGCAAAAGTTCCAACACCCTCCAGCATATCCCTTCGGCACAACAAAAAATTCAGCGAAATCTCTCACAACTAGATTATGGTTTATAATGCAATGAAAATTTTGCCATGCATTACTCGACTTCAGCATACATACTGATTAATAATTAAAAATCGGTTCGTCTTTACGAGGGCAATCAAAATCACGATTGACCTTTGGGAAATTATAGGCAGGGTGAGCATGAAATCTTAGGGTAGAGACTAATAGGTATTGTTTATGCTCTAAGCTAACGACATTCTTGATGTTTATTTACAATTTAAGCTGAATGCAAACTTTGTATCACCAAAAACACTTTTCACTTATTATTTTCTTCGCCTGTTGGTTAACATGAGTACTCTCAAGTATGGTAATGGTTCAATAGCTATACTTTCTGATACATGAGCAATCTAACCTAAAAATCATACTCGTCACCTCTTAACTCGGTCCACTCACCGTATTTTGCGGCATTCAAGTGCTTCGCTTTGTCAAGCACCTCCACAATCATGCCATCAAATTGGATTATTAGTACCACATTCCTGTTGAATCCAAATTAAATTAATTTCAAATTGGTACTTACGTTAAAAAACTTTGGGCTGTTGGAACAACAAATTGGTTTTAAGGTAACTTTTCAATGTAGATTTCTTAGTATTTGGAAGTAAAAAGAAAGGCACCTTATTTGCAGTGACCTAGGTCACGCAGAAAAAAAGAAATTTGCACACCTTGTCAATAGCAAACAATCGGTTGGATAAGTTATTAAGGTTGTAGTAACATTTAGTCCTGAATCGGAGATGAGTCGCTAACTCCGGCATAACTTCAAGCGCCCTTAACAATGGAGATGTACCGGAACTGCCAAGGTGCCAAAATAGTACGTGGATACTGTGTTCTTTTCAAATTAGATCTTACGAAGGAACTTTAACGGCCAGATCGAGGTTGCGGTGATGACGTGTCATAATTTTCATGACGGGAAAGTGATGTAATGAGATGGAGTGAGTTATGACTGATGTGATCCAACCATCTTTGCTTGATAGACATTGAAGGAGTGAACTGCAGACTGTTTATTTGTAGCACTCGTACATCAAACTATAATGATAAAGAGAGCTTAAAACAATAGGTAATAAGCATCACCTAATCCTTTGTTTTTTTTTAAGTATCAAATAAACATTCTATAAATAAAACATGAGCAGGCCAAAACTAAAATTACAATCATGAGCTAATATCATCAAATGTATTTTAAGGATTAAACAATTAAACCAAAAGAAACAATTGTCCCTATTTGTGTTAGAACGTGAAGTTCTGTTTACTACAGAGTGAATTTGAGCTCAAGTAGCTATGCGATTTCACCATTAAGAGAAGGAAGGGACTTACAAAATTGATGTAATTATATTGAACCTTACTGGATAATGTATCTGTACATTCTTATTCGGGTCGTTGTCTTAACTTATTGCATCATCGCATTTAGCATTTAGCATGACAATATACTTTACTGTATTTACGACTATATATGCTTCTGTATTTTTGCAAGTCCATTACAAGCACTTATTGTGAATCCGAGGTTCCCGTCTCTGCTGAGTCCATTTTGACGAATTTAGTAATAACGCTTTTAATGCAGGAAGTCTAGCTTGCCCAGTTTTATCTTTGCAGACACATTTTCTTTCCTTTTTAAAAACGGTTGCAGAAAAAGAATCAGTGGATCTTGAAATAAGCAACATTTTGGGGGGAAGTTTTTACTTACACATCGGTTTTGCTCTAAACTCCTTCAATTCGCAGTTTGTCAGACCTTCGTCTCGATCACTACAATAACGGTTCCGAGCAATAGAATAAGCAAATTGTTTTCATCAGAAGGTTAACCGACGCAGCAGAGTCTTCTCATTGACAAATAAGCATTTGAATCCATGCCTGTAGTTAGGCTGTTCAACTTCGCATTAGATAAAATTGGCTGAGTAGATTTTGAGGTACTTCGTGAATTTTCATTTTGTCAACAATGTTGTACTTCACAGCATTAGTTTCAACAGCACCAGGTGTTCTTCATGAAGAAAATATTAGAGTTCTTTCACCTTTTTTATTAATTCACTTAATATATGCTGCCTTTGATATTTTGTACTTTGTGCACGTAATAACGTACAACAGCAACAACAACGACAATTTCCTGGTTTATTCTATTTGAGCAAGCACTACAACTTCATGCAGCAAATAAGAATATCGCTTTTCAAGAATTTGCTATTATTTACTAATTTTGTAAGACACAAGTTCCAAGAAGTGAAGTGGAACTGATTTCTTCGACTTTTTAATTCGATGGCTATAAGCCTTTTAGACCAATTCATTTAAAGAGACGGTACTTATTTTAACACATCAATTGCTATTGAGCATGAATGGAATGAGCTGTGTAATAAAACTGCGAGATGCGGATAGAAAGTGATCAAATACTTAGTTTAACAGTGTGCTGTACCACGTAGGGCTTTCGGTCCCCGTAAATCATACCTCTGCTCTGCAGGATGGCCTTCGGGCTATGCGGGTTGCCACCCCGTCCTTCTGTGCTCCACTCACACATGTTCTTCCGTACTATTTCGAGCCATTGCTAATATGACAGTGACAAGCTTGTCGGACTTTCCTCTTATTTTCAATTTCACTTTTACTTCCATAACTGCTCAAGGTCTTTGAATTTAGAAAGGCTCACACTCTAAAAGACGTCACGGAAATGCACTGATATTATAGGAAATATTGAGGCTGACCACATCTTTGCTCCATCATCATCATTGTTTTGTCCTCTTCAAACCGTTTCGCGCTGGACATGAGATATATTCACGACTGTACATTGAATCAGTCCTCTGTTTTGTACAATCCTCCGAAAGTGGTTAGTGTGTGAGTTTTACGTTGTGAGATACTAAATAAAATCGACACGACATGCGTAAAAATTACCTATTTCCTGCTAGGATTTCTGACAGTCTTATTATGAATCATAATAGAAAACATGTTTCACTTTTTTGTGTTTTTAATCGACACTTCTTATGAGTTCAGTACCTTTATTACACATACATGCCTTTACTTCAACCGACAATATGCACTGTCTAATAGGCCATTGAAATCGGGCAATAACATTTTAATTGCATTTAGGCTATTCAAGTTTTAGACCCAATAGGATTGAAAATTCTGTCATCGGTAGATAAGATAGGAAATAGCGTGAGCGTTGCAAAATAATGTAGAGTCCTGGCTTTGAGTGATTCACCCACCATCTCCGACTCTTGCGTTTACGTGACGGAATAAATCATGGTATGGAACGGCCAGAAGAAGTACAGAACTAAAGTTGAGACAAGACAGTAAATGCGATTTGCCAGTTGCAGTATTAATTCTAACTTGCCATTTTTGGTGTTATTCAACACACCATCTGCAAATAAATAAGCATTTTGTTGAAAGTAATGCATGAAAGTATTCTATGATTTAGCTAAACGATTGATATTGTCTTGCAGGTTTGATTGTCTTAGTGAAGCTGTGTTCCATTTTATGTACTCTTTATAGTCAGGTAGGTTAAAAGATGCTCGTTTATGTAGCTTTTCTGTCTGATGCAAGATATAACAAAACATAAATAGGTAAACATTTTAAAATTTTCTAACGAAATCTGCCTGGGATTTATTGCAAGTTGGGATGTTTCGGCTATCAATAGATCTGACTATAAGTATGTTATGCTTGTAGCGCCTCGAGACTTCTCCGAAAAAGAAAGAAGGCATTATACTCGGGTAGAATGTATATGTATGTATTCGACATAGAGTGGGGCTTGGCGCTACTGACATGGTCCAGAGACAGGCCCACCCGGCGACGGTGCAATGGCGGAGACCCAACGTGGTCCCTTTACCAAAATTAGGAGCTAAACAACCAACGTATTACATACCAGACATAGGTTACTAGGTATAATCTACGACGAATACCCGTTAGCGATTTGAAACTACACCGATATGAAGATAGCCCAGTTATATAGTGAGATCAAAATAGACAGGAGTTTTATTTCGCATTTTCAGGAATTGAAACAATTTACACAACATTTTCAGTACCTAACAAAAGTGTAGGAGTCGGTGTGTCTGCACTGGTTCCCAGACAAACTCCATTTTCGGTGTATCAATGCTGCTAAATTTGTTCACGAATGAGGGGAAGCTAATAATTTACCCATAAAAAAACCAATCTTCCGTGTTCATATCTGAATTGCCAACATTTGAAAACGATTTCAATATCCTAGTTAGGTAGGGAAGGGTTCAACAACGTATATTTGCAGAGAGAATGCAATGAATATGCTTGTAACGTTCATCAAAATGCTCACCACGCTCTATTCAAGCTACAGTAGTAGTCCTGCAATCTCCAATTTTTTTTATGTAACGCCAATGCTTGCGTGCGGAAGGCTTCCCTCACAATGACAAAAAAAATGGTTAAATCCCAGA